TTGGAAGCGTGTGAAGTTAAATTGATGGCCATCATATTCATGGCTCCCCAAAAATATAAATATTTTTTAATTATATATATACAATCTCTTTTTCTTTTTCTTTTATTTGCTGCCTATAATTAATTTGGAATGAGGCGCTTTTTTACACCATGAAATACATAGTATATGACCATATGCCAACCGTATCCAATGCAATGTCAAACAATTATTGTTGCATATCCACTTTTAATAATATTTGTTGCATTATAAAATCATAAAATTAATATTAAATACAATTTGGCATTTCAATGGCTAACTGACTATGACCATTTATTAGCGTATATTAATCTATAGATTAGTTCAGACATCGACGAGCATGTGATGCAAGATTAAATACACTATCTTGTGCTTCAAATTTATCATTAATTATTTCTTGAGTCAAATTAAGGGGGAATTTAAATAATTTGTCTCTATCCAATGGCAGAGTGAGATGAGTCACAAATTGTTATTGGCAACTTGAATTGACATCAGAATAATCCTTCTTTCATTTATTCAAAGCCCATTTTTAAATTATACTACTTCATTTCTTAATATAAGAGCTATATAACTAATTTTGACAGATTAAGGAAATTGGTTAATTTAGTTATTTTGCAATAAATATATGTTGACTTCCTAAATTATCCTTATTGAATCATGTAACTACATTTGGGTGGAAATGTGTTACAATCAATAGAGATATTTTTTAGAACACATTATAAATTTAAGAGACAAAATTAATTGGGGTTTTATATCGAAGACAAATAATTAGCTCTTATATTTAAGACTAGAGGTAGTACTTCTTCTAGTCTATAATATAAGAAGTTAGTTAACTTTTCTCACATATTAAAAAATAAAAGTTTCATTAAATGTGTCCTAGAATAACAAAGTTGTTCTATTTTACCTGTGAAAAATGATAAAGTTGTTTTTAATGTTATACTTTCATGATACCTCATCTCTCTCATCTCTCCTATATTTAATAGGGACAAGTAGAAAATCAATTAATTATTATCATGACAACATCTTATATTTTGGACACAATTTTCTTCTAACCTACTTCTTATATTATGGACCAGATATGTGACCTAGCGGAATACTTCAAATTTTATGAGCAGAGAAAACCAAATGCTTCTCACAGATTATTGAAATAAATACATTTTATTTCATATATGACATACATGTACTTAGTTTTAATGTTGTCTATACATATTGCGGACTGATATAATAATCATACATTCATACCTAAATGTTTGTGACCATCAAGGGAAGTGGATCAAGTGCTTCGCAAGATTCCTTAATTTTGGTATTCTTGATGCACGCATGACGCAACAATCTCTGTTGGAGGGAAAATTATATCCAAATCAATGTTTATTGCGGCTTTAATTGAACCAATAATCAATTTTATTTTGAATGATAATTCCCAAAACCATATCTTCTCATAAGCACTATCAAAACGATTAAGGATCTAAAATTTTTAAGTATTTCTGTAATTTTTTAAAAAATACCCATGATTCTTCAATATATTATTGAATTCTATAAATAAACTTTTGGCCAAATAAATGATATAAGTAAGTTGCGCGTCTTTTATTTATCACAACATTTATGCCAATCAGCTATTTTAGTCGCATATACACTTTTAATACTATCGGTTAATAATATTGTTGGCAAAAAATACTGCAAATAATGTTAAAACATCAATATGCTAATGAAAATTAAATAAGTCCAATCACTAACTGAGTCTATGACATATTTATTAGCTTATACAGTATATCAGTTATTAATTAACAAAACATTGATTCAGATATGAGCATGTGAGGCAATATTAAATACACTATCTATGTCTTAAGTCAAATTACGATGCAATTTTCTTAATTCATTAATTAGGTGATTACATAAAAAATTTCACCTTCATCCAATTTTAAAAAAAACTGTCACTTATTAATATTGCCATCAACGTCCTTCTTGTTTCCCCCCACTAACATCGACATACGAAAATAAATATTAAATTCTGTGACCCATGACAAATGCTTCAAATTCCGTGATCCCAATTAAAAAGTAACATTTCTCTTAAATTATACTCCTGTGGTCCTATCTATAGGGTAAAAAGAGAAGATATTTTTTGGTTTTATTCATAGAACAGTAAGAAAATCTTTTTTATGTGGATGTACGATTTTTTCCTTCATCTATTATAATGTATAATAAATAAGGATAAAGTTCAAAAGTTATTGAATTTTAAATGAAAGTTAATAAAGTTTAAAGTTTTTCTTAGTTTATATGAAACATCTTAGAAGTGACTTATAAATAGTAGCAGAGAAGTAGAAATAAATTCAAATCCTTTTAAAAAATTAGCAGGTTTATTGAGTATTTGTGATCAAAGGTAAAATAAAATTTCAAAAGACATTTTCAAACTATATGACGGAGAACCATAAATTCCTGACAATATTTACATATATTCATTAAATTTTAGATATATTTTTGAAATTTCTAGTTCCAATGATGATAGTTAGTTACATTGTAGATTTTTCAGCCAACAGTCCAGCATATCGCAGATATATTGAGAGCTGACCAATATTCTAATGATAATCGTAATAATTAGAACAAGTAAGTAAAATAATAATTAAATAATACCGTTTCAATAAACGTTTTATGTTTGTGGCTGGCCAATATTGAATACGATTTTACGAATGAGAATATTAAATTGTGCATTTTTTCTTATTATATTTAAAAGGTGTACTGTATTTTGTAAAACATGATAACAATAAATATAAAAATTAGGCGAATTATATTAAATACTCCCGTTAGTTAATTTTGAATTTGCATAATGAACTAGAAATGTCATGAGTTAATAATAAGCTTATTATATAATAATAGCAAAGCTGCGTTCGAGGCATTGAAAGTAAACTTTAAACATAAATAGTGAGGGTATATTTGGAAAAACAAATTGAATATAGTTCTCAGGTTTAATTCCTGATTTAAATGGTTTAAAGCAGTCCAACATTCCAACCACAAACGGTTATATAAGGATGAATCTGATCTGTTTTGGTTCCTAAAACAATTATAAAAAGCTTAAAAAATGAGACATATTATATCTTTAATCTAAGATGCATGACAGGTTATACTATTTATAAATTATAAATAATATGGTCATCTTAAATTTCATGCAAAGCATGAACCTCACAATATAATAATTTACTACTTATCAATAATATTGTTTGCTACACTTTTTTTTTTTTTGGTTAAAATTAGGTTTTGAAGAAAACGGATCATCTCAATAATCTTCTCTCTCCTACACAATCTCTTTTATTGATTGTAAGTGAATGGCAGATAAAATAATTTATAAGTGGACAATACATTTTTAAAAAAATAATTGACATTTATTATTATTAGTGGAACCTTTTCCAAAATGAGATTACATCAATACACATTCATTATATTGATCAATAATTAAATAATATATTCGATTTAATGCCATATGTAACAATAACCTTTCACCATTCACATCAAATTAATGGAAGGAATTATGCGCATAGAAAGAAATATGAAGGAAAAAAGTAATTAAGAAATTATAACGAGCCATATTTTGGTCTCAACATTATCATTTCTCTCAATCAATTTCCCCTGCTAACTCCTCCGAAAAAAATCATTTTTAAGTTTTATAAGACAAAACTTTCTTCACATATTTATCTGGTACAATATAAAATCACTTAGATAAGTTAAACCAAACACTCACAAATTTATCATAATATTGTCACCTGGGCTCAAAATGAAGTGATTATTATGTTATAAAATCAATTGATAAAATAATGTAAATATCTCTCAACAACAAGGATATTTTAGAACTAAAATCTGCATATATAACGGTAGGTGAATTCCAGAGAATATGATTCTAAGCGAGATTAAGAAAATAACCTAATCAATAATATTTATCAAAGTCACACGGTTTGAAATGTTAGTTAAAATTAACTAAAAACAACACATATGTAAGATGCATACATATCTTTTCAACTGTACTCTTATTTATAAAGAGAATACATAAAAGATAATAAATGAAGATTTACTGCAGAGAGATAACGAGCATTGTTGTCATACTTATGATTTAACTCTTTGAATTTAACGTTTTATATTTTCAGTTTATAAAATCGTATCAACTCACTCTTAAGCTTATACTATTTATAAACTCAGTTGAATGTACGAGTTTACTATTTTTATGTTGTTAGCTTACAAAATTATGTTAATTTATTTTTAAACTTGTGCTAAATTTTTGAATTTGGTAAACTCTTGTGAGTTTACTATCTAAATTTGCTTAAACTAGCAAGTTTGACAATCTTAATAAGTGACATATATTTAATAAAAAATACTGATTTAAAATTTCAGACAAAGTAAATTTATTGCCTATATCACCAGAGAAAATACTTCTTATAAAAAGGGACCGCGAGAGTAATGTCTAAAGGCGCCGCAACCGCGCCACCCGCGCCATCATATATATAATAATAAACTAAAAAACTAAATTTAATTTAATTTTAATTAATTTAAGTTTTCAAAGGAAATGGAGGGTTGACTTAAGATGGCAAATGGGGCAGCACGCCCACCAGAATATACGGTGGTTGTACTTTTCTTTATGAAACCTAACCGCACATGTTGTACCTTCCCCTTTCTCTCTCTTCTCTTCCGTACGTCCTCTCTCTCTCTCTGTGCCTCATTATAAAAACACGGACCTCTCTCTCTTTCTTCCACCTTCAAACTTCAAAGTTCTCGATCAATCTCTCAGGTCTCTCTCTCTCTGGATCTTTCTCTCTATATTCTCTGGTCTGGTATATTCATCAGTGGTCAAATCTCTGTCAAGAGAAGATCAAATAAAGCAGTGCAGTATTAATTCTATATATAAATAGATAGATATCGTCCTCGGACAATCAGAAAAGATGATGTTTGAAAAGCAAGGAGTCGATCGTCTTCTTAATAATAGTCATCTTCATGATCAGCCATTAATGGCGGGGATGGATCTGATGAAGAAGACGAAGAAGAACAGGAAATCAAACAGAGGGACCACGGCGGCGGCACTGCAACAACAAGAAAAGCTTGAGATTGTCGATCTCAGTGGCTTGTCCTTAGACTCTCTGCCTAATCCTTCTCTTAATCTAGCCACCATCACCAACTTGCACCTCTCCAACAACAATCTCCAGGTACCTATATTTCTCTCAATCATATATATATAATTTTGTTTTAAATAGAGATCCATGTCTCCATTTCGATCTTCTGGTGTTGTGTATATGATCATAATTCTGTTTTTCTTTGAAACGTTGTTTCTGGATCTGGTTTGCTAATGGATTAGTTTTATTTAAGAAGGAAATGGGGTTCGAGTTACCTTCTTCTTTATAATACATAAATGTTGGGGGTATTAAATATACATAGTTTTAATAATTCATACGAAGAAGAACCAATGATTATTAATTTAGCCAAGTATTTCATATATAAAATCAGTTTAACTAACTAGATGATACTTATACATAACATCTTTTCTTGTAATTATAGCATTTCATTAAAGGATAAACTTTCATTCACCGATGGTTTAATTTTACAGCTTTGAAGAAAGATTATTAAATAATTATTCTTATTGTCAGTTTTCATTTTTGGCCAACAGCTTGTAGACACTAGGAAAATTAATAAATAATCAAGAACTATGGATAATAAAAATTGCCATAAATTTTATACTCCTCCGGTCCTAATTATAAAACCCAATTGACTTATTTGAGGAGATTAAGGAAGTAAGTTAAGTTGGTTATTTATAATAAATAAGTGTTATCATTCCTAAAATATCCTTGCTAATTAAGTATATTGGCTAAAACTATCATTATTAGAAGGATTATGTTGGAAAAAAATGCATAAATATAAGAGAAAAAATGGATTGGGTCTTATAATTAGGACCAAATAAAAAGTCAAATTGGGTCTTATAATAAGGACCGGAGGAGTATTATATAAAGGTTGAGATTAGTTTTCATCCCCGGTTAAATACAACCAACGCGCTTATCTTTCTACTGCAAACTTCTTATCAGGAGTTGCTTTCGATTATCTACAAGTGTGTTTTTATTTTATTATATATAACTATTTTGATAAACTCTAACGTATGCAATATTATCTAATCTTGTTTCTATATTTACACATATACGCAATCCACTGTTGACATAAACTTTTTTATATTCTTAATTTATGTCAAAAAAAGGCATCATCATATGAATAACCAAGAGAAAAAGGACACACTTTTGATGGAAGATGCTGAAAACTGGTTATCATTAGATCATCTTTATAGACTCATAGGAAAAAAAGAAATTAAAAAAGAAAAGAAAAAGACTTATTTGTCCTTCACATCCCGTTTTTTTAACGAAAACACCATTTTGCGTACATCACATATTGCTGACTGTTTGTCATGTTTTGTGAAAGTTAGTGACTTTTTTAATATATTTTCGATGCGTTTGTTAGTAGCAACGTTAATATCTGTTGATAACTACATGATGTTATGATTATTCATTTAATATACATTATTGATCTCTAGCTAGTATAACTTTTTTTTTTTTTAAGAATCATTATCCGTATGATAAGAATTAACAAGTATCAAACATAGCTTTTCGATCTGTTTTGCTTTGTTTTTTTGTGAAGAAAAAACTTTGTTTTATTTGGTGGACTTTCGTCCTACTCTATTAGAAATCTCTAGATTTACCTCTCCATGGTTGTATTTGGATATTTTGTGGCACATTATATATATATATATATATATTATCCGATTCTTAATATAAAAGATAGTTTAACTTTTAATTTGGTATTAGATATAAGATCTAATCTACTTTGTCTCTCATATTTATCTTTTTTTTTTCAAATTAGTTTTTGTAGTTGTTACGCATGCTAAATATTTCATCAGTTAGTAGTAGTTCTAACTAATATACATGATTAGCAAGGCTATTTTAGTGATTTTAACTCATATTTGTTACAAATAATTCACTTAATAATATTTTTTAATCTACTCAAATTAATCAACTAGTTCTTATATTAAAAAGCAGAGATAGTATAACATAAAATCTATAAAAATTAACAAGCCACACTTTTCATATATCATAAACGAGAGTCTTTCAAATTTCAATACAGAGTACCACATCTAGTTATGGCAAGAAAATCATGCATGTGCACATAAAAAAGTTAACTACAACAAGTGAAATGAATATCTTGACCTTTCGTGAACTTGAAGAGCCAAATAAGTTTCCTTACTCTCACTTTGTATGTATTAGGTATATATTTTGTGGTATTAATATAGTTATAAATAATACTCATGATTAGTGTTAGGCTGGTATTATAATTTCTCTGGTTCTAAACATAAGACTCATTTTGTAGTGTAATTTATACTACAAAATAGGTCTTATATTTAGGACCGGAGGAGTATATAATAATAGTAATAATAATGATGAAAGTATATATACGACAGAGCATACCGGAGTCGTTAACGGCGAGATTACTGAACGTGGCGGTGTTGGACGTTTACTCGAATCAACTCACCTCGCTTCCTAACTCTATCGGCTGCCTCTCTAAGCTTAAGGTCTTGGACGTCTCCGGCAACCTCCTCGATTCCTTACCTAAGACCATTGAGAATTGCAGGTACTCTCTCTCTCTCTCTCCCTCTCTCTCTCTCTGTGATTATCATATAATATTTGATACATTTTAATATAATTAATTTATCACACTTAAAATTCAAGTATTGTCTGTTTTCATTAAATAACTCCTCTTTTAAGGATAACTCACTAACTTTCTTCTTAGATCATTTAGACGTGATTTGAATAATGATCAAAATTATGTACCTGTTGGACAAAACAAATGATAAAACTGTATGGTTTTTTTTTTTTTGGGGTGGTGGTTTAGCATACATACTTTTTTAACAGAAAAAGTTAAGGCTGTTTCAAAAGAGTTTAAGTGGAATTGGTAAAGATTATCGAACCTTTATATATTCCATATATTGAGGCGGTTTTTTTGAACAAATACTAATTTGTAAGTGTCTTTCCATGTGTTTCTTTCACTTGAAACCTAATTCACTCAAATTTTGTAGGTTTAGGTTGTTTTCTAATGAAAATTAATAAATTTGTTAATCACTATATATGGACAAAAAAGAAATACTAGCTATGATCTAGAAGAAAAGGGAATGTATGTCATCATGATTGTTACTTTTTAGTATCTAGGCTAAGATTTCTTGATCCTATTGAAAGTGGGGCTTACGTTGCAATCCAATAAAACCAAAAGTGGGGGAAACAGTATGAAACACTTAAATGATGTTGTGTCCAATATTATTTAGTGATGATAATTATTATTGGACTAAGATATATATATATATATATATATATTGCTACTTTATATTGTGTGGCTGGCCGATTGTGTTTTCTCCAGACCCACGAAGTCCATCAAATTAACATCACGACTAGATTCGAAAGCCATACAAGTGATTAATTGCTAAATATTTTATTTGTGAAATGATAGCTCTTTGCTTATGGCCTAAAAGCAAGTCGTTTTCATTTCCATCAAGCTAATTAATTTAATTAATTATTATATTGCCCCGCCAGATTATAGCATACGTAACAATGAATTACTATACCCATCAAAATAGTGTTGACTGAAAATTATGCCTCGCATATTTAATTTATCCCATCTGCTTCTTGTTCAATTATTGTGCCTACTTAATTTTAATATACCAAAAAAAATACATATAAATTTCTTCAGCTGAACAGAGAGATGAGGTTGGGAAAGATTTAAGAATCTTTTGAAATTGAAAGCTTGATAGATATTTCTGCGATAAAATTGGGGAGTGGGGACACGTTGTTGAAGAACAAATGAAATAGAAGAAAATATCATAGAAAATGCTTTCGTGAAGCTTCAGCAGCAAGATTAAAAAATTAAAAAAAAATTGAGGAAGAATATTCTACCGTTAGCAGAGTCACCGTTTAGCAAGCAATGTAATAAATTAATACTCATGCCTTTATACTTAATGGGCAAGCTATATATATATAGAGAGAGAGAGCTAAATGAAAGCAATAATATATATTGTATATATTTTTATCTTCTATTGATTCTTTCTATTTTATTCTAGTTGTTACATCAAGGATTAAAAAACATTAATTATTCTAACCACTTTATATGTTTTGATTTATCTTCATCAGAGCATTAGAAGAACTGAATGCCAACTTCAACAAGCTTACCAAGCTTCCGGAAACCATAGGGTTTGAGCTCATCAACCTCAAGAAGCTATCAGTGAACTCCAACAAGCTTGTGTTCCTTCCTCACTCCACCTCTCACCTCACCGAACTCAGTGTTCTCGACGTTCGCCTCAACTGCCTCCGGTCGCTGCCGGAGGACCTTGAGAATCTCATCAACCTCAAAATCTTAAATGTGAGCCAAAACTTCCAATACCTAGAAACCCTACCTTACTCAGTAGGGCTCCTCTTGTCCCTCGTAGAACTTGACGTCAGCTACAACAGAATAAAATCCTTGCCGGAATCCATCGGCTGCCTCAAGAAGTTAGAGAAGCTAAGCGTCGAAGGGAACCCACTGACGTCGCCGCCGAAGGAGGTGGTGGAGCAGGGGGTTGATAAAGTGAAGGAATATATGTGTCACAGGTTGAACTCAGCGCATGAAAGTCCAAAGAAGAGATCTTGGGTTGGTAAGTTAGTTAGATGTGGAACCATAAACGGACGATGGACGAGGAATGGACCTACAAACAATTATGCTCTTGGACCTCAGTATCGTACAATGGAGGGTCTTGGATCACCAAGTTTAATGGCCATGTTCTCTCCAAAGCGTCTCTTTTCGTCACCTCGTCGTTCTGTGTAAATTCACAGGCAATAATATTGTGAATCCCTAGCTTGTGTAGATTTTGCAGTAGACTTTTTTTTGCAGGTTGATAAGTTAGGTCTGGTTTTACGTTAGAGTCTTGGCGAGAATGATGATGAGGGTTCTGTAAAATACTATATAAGCCTCTCTAGTTCTTGCTTTTCTTCTTGGTGTTTTTTCAAAGTTCCCGTAGGACTGCGTCAACAACATAACTACTTACATGTGTGTGTATTTGTGTGCGCGTGTATGGTCCTGTATATTTTTCATGGATTGATAGGACCTACGTCTATGTATGTAATGAAGGTGACGTTGAATATGTATGTGTTAAAATGATATTATTTCTGGTCTTTAATAGAAGAGTTAGATAGCTAATTTGTATATATCAAGAAAATTAATTAAGATAATCATATGTAATAAATGTGAGTTGGATTTTCTAGACTACCATTTTTAATCGGATATTATAACTACTCTTTGATATGAACTCTCTTACTATAGGGATATTTTGGAGAAGAAGTTATAGATTTGAGAAACAAAATAAATTGAAATCTTATATTTAGAATTAAAAGTAGTATAAAGTTAATGACATTGTTCAATAGCAAAATTTTGATAATGTAATATAAGGTGTGCATTTAAGAATTCTAGGAATTAAGGGGGAAAAAAGGCCAATACCAATCAATTGATCAAACCTTATGATCTCTCTTCAAAATAAATATTGTCTGCGTTGGCAAAACAAAATAAATGTATTGAATGGTTGAATTAATTAAAAAAAATTACAAAAATTAGGAAAAGCATAAAATAGATATACATCTTGATCATCATATTTTGTTGTGCTTGCGTTTTCTCTTTCCTACCAAAGGAACCAAACTTTACACATAGTCGGCAACATAAGCAAATGTTAGTATAGGGGTTTGAAACCTATGTATGTGCTGATTTTGAAGATTATACGAAATCAATTGACCATCATCTTCTTTAGCAAGAATCTCATTATCCCCCCAAGATCCTGAGATCGATAGACCAGAGCTTAAGGGTTGGTCCAATCTCAAACTTATTATTAGTCCAACTACTCTCAATATCGTACTCATTCATCAATCCAAATCTTAAATTTCCCAAGACTATATGTAAACATAGCAAGATTCTCATTAATTAAACATTTATTTGCAAAAATCGAAGCTCAAAATAAATCTATTTGCGATCTCATTGTAGCCAAAAACTAACCAGTGAGAAACTTCATTCAAATAACACCACGAAAATGAATAACATATTTCAAAATTTGGGACAACAACATCTATTATTCTCCAAGAATTAGTACTAATGTGCCTCAACTTTACGTTGTTCTCCTTTCGGCCAAAGCCTATTGGAAACTCGAGCAACCTTGTAACCCTAATGTGATCAAACCCAAAACCAAATATGTCTTTTCTAGGTTGCCTTTTAGACTCCAGAACAAGTTTATGCTCTTTTGTTGTTAGGTTCCAAAGAATTAAGCGGCCCTTATTCGGATGATCACCTCGATTGACCGCAAAGAGACAAAAGATGCCATTACATTGACCATTGAAAGGAAAAAAAAAATACTACTTCCAGTCCTTAATATAAGATCTAATTAATTAGCATTTGATGGAATCTTTAATATGTGTACCTACTACAAGAATTACTCCAAAAAAAGAGAGAAGATAAATGCGAGAGATAAAGTGGATTGAGATCTTATATCGAGGATCAAATTAAAAGTCAAACTAGCTCTTATATTAAGAATCAAAGGTATTAGTTCTTATTAGGGAGACGTTCTATACCGTGAAGCATAAGATAAGGTTCGTCTTTAGAAATCAGGGATATGCAAGGCCAATGAAGATTGAAATTGTGCACATCGAAGATAAGGTTGAGGCGGCGATTCTTGGCGATAGAATTGGACCATTCAAGGTGTTTGTTAATAAAAGAAGGGTCAGTGATTAGAGCATCTCAGGATTTGGCTGCACATTTGAATCGAAACAAACATTTTACAGGCAGCATCACTATGATCTTCATCATAAGATCCTCATGAAGATTGTTACTCAGCATTTTCTTAATCTGAGATTGTCTGTTTCTTTTGTGGGCGTTAACAATGGTGTTCGTCTTGGATTCAGAGAAAGATTGAAGGCATGCAGTATGGTTGATAGGCTGATGATGCTCACGTCTGCAAGAGGATAGAGTGACGTGCCAAGTATTTAGGGTTTTGATCAAAAGGTGACGAGCACAGGGTGAGAACAAAAAATCTAATGATTGGGACACGTTATTGAATAGGCAGGAGATTATTCTTGCAATTGTACGTCATGAGTGTTGAGAGGCTTTTGAAGCATTTGTAGAGGCTGTCGTTAATTCTGAGGTTCAAATTGCAATTTGCTAACTAATTAATTTTTTGAACATGAATTTGCAGATAGTGTACTGTTCTTACGAATAATGGAAATCTGGATTAATGATATAAAGATACAAGCATCGCCAGTTCATATTTGAACAAATCTTATAATCTATTCAATGTAAATTCTCTACATGAATGGCCATAATTAACAAGATAAATGCATTCAATAAATTGATCATAAAAATCAAACATAAATCTTCAGTGGAACCAAACTTTCTAGATAGTCGTACATGAAAGTAAATCCTGGATCGAGCATTTGAAGCTTCTCTACATGTTGATTTTGTGGATTATATGAAATAAATTGATCATCATTTTCGTGAGCAACAATCTCGTTATCTCCCCAAAACCCTAATAAAATGGACCCTGGCGTAGGGAGTGCTTCAATCTTAAAATTTTTAGTCCAACTACTTTCAACACCATACTCATTCATTATATATCCAGAACTCATATTTTTCAATTCTATAGTGACACACAAGCAAGGCTTTGGTCCATTGCAGAAACAATTTGTACTGCAGAGGAAACTCAGGAGGCAATTGGATCACACCAAACATCTCTTTGCTAAAATCAAAGCTCAAAATATGGGTTTTACCAATCTCATTACTTCGGACATATCCTAACCAGTGATAAATCCATTCAAACATGAACTCCAACTTGGACAAGACAATACATAATTTGGGATATCAACGCCCATTGTTCTCCAAGAATTGGTACTAAGATTGTGCACTTCAACTAGAATTTCTTCTTCTTCTTCGTCTTCGTCTTCCTCTTCTTCCCAAGGCCAGTTTAACAACCGAACAACCTTGTAATCCTTTGTGATGGGATCGAACCCAAATCCAATCCTCGAATCGCTTGGGTGTTCGGGTTCTTTCTGAGGGGCAGGAATAACTTTCACATCTTACGTTGCTGGGTTCCACAAGATTAATAGACCCTCATCACTGATATTAGATTTTTTATCATGTCCTTTAAAGAATCCACAGAGACAGAAGATCCCATTACATTGATCAGAAATGAATATAATCAATTCCGAGTCATTCTTAATTAGTGATCAGAGGCAATTCTATACGGTGGAGCACATGGGTTTCGTCTTTAGAAATCAGAGATATGCTGGGCGGCAGCTCAAATGGTTGATGCAATTGGAAGATAAGCTTGAGACAGCGATTTTTGGTGGCAAAATTAGACCATTCGAGATGTTTGGTGATAAAAGAAGAGTCAGTGATTAGAGCGTGCCAGGATTTGGCTACAAATTTGAATCGAAGCAAGGATTTCAGAGGCCGCCTCACCATGATGTTCATCATGAGATCTTCAGGAAGATTACCGCTAAGCGTTTTCTCGTTGCTTGAAAACATCTGAGATTGTCTGTTTCTGTTGTCGGTGTTGTTGATGCTCAACATTTCCTGCGACTTTCTCGTTTTCCTGGGGTTTTTGTATTCGGCAAAGATCCAAGGTGTGCGGTTGATTTAGGGTTTTGATTTGGGGCAAAAAGATATACTCCTCCGGTCCTAATTATAAGACCCAATTGACTTATTTGAGGAGATTAAGGAAGTAAGTTAAGTTGGTTATTTATAATAAATAAGTGTTGTTATTCCTAAAATATCCTTGCTAATTAAGTATACTGGCTAAAACTATCATTATTAGAAGGATTATCTTGGAAAAAAATACATAAATATAAAAGAGAAAATGGATTGGGTCTTATAATTAGGACCAAATAAAAAGTCAAATTGGGTCTTATAATAAGGACCGGAGGAGTATTTAAGAATGATATTTTCTAGAAAGACAAAATAGTACTTCTCCGGTCTTTTATATAAGACCTATGTAACTAATTTTATTAGATTAAGAAAGTTAGATGAGTTAGTTAATTACAAAAAATATTATATGTTTTTTGTAAAACGCCATAATCATCTTCCTTAATATTCCTTTTTCCTCTTCTACTTGATTATGGTTGAGAAGTATCCATAGGATAATTTAGAAAAAAATTGATAAATATAAGAAATAGGTCTTATATTTAGGATCAAAACTAACTCAATAAGTAGGTCCTATATTAAGGACTGGAACAAGTAGTGTGTGTGTGTAGTTTTACTATATACGTTTATTGTTAAATCAACAATAAACATATATCGTAAAACTTGTCAACGTCCCTCTCAAACATCCCTTGATTTTATTTTCATTTTTTTATTTTTGCAAAGTAACAAATAATTTCACTTTATTATTTCAATCCATCTCTAATCAGATGATGTTATCTCTCAAGCTAAGCATTAAATATTCATATAAGATGAAATATGTATTAATAAACAAGAAACAAACCAAAAAAGTATAAGCTATTTGTAAACAAAATCATGAATAATTAATTAAAAAACCAAATTCAAAAAAAAAAAAAGAGATTTGAAGGAATAGTTTCAAAAATGTTACAAAAGATTCTAGGAATGTACACAAATACAGGGGGAAGAAATTAAACTTATAGGTGAAGGTAGATTCTTTTGATCCTTTATTTTAGTATGAATTTTTTTTGTAAAAATTTATTTTGTTATATAGCAATTCTCTAACTTTGAAATATATTCAAAAGCTTCCTAGTTATTAATAAGTAAATTGATTTAAAAATGATACTTTAATTTCAAAGCTAAAAAATAGTAATTAATACAATAATCACAGTTAAGATATTTTTAAGGCTCAATAATAAATATCAAGTTAAAAATAATTTAATGTAACATACTAAAAATTATAACATTAAAATAAAGAAGTTTTATTTTCAGAATATTTTATTTAAATACTTAAAATTACAACATGAACATAGCGGACGGTGCGTGGTACCGCGGATTTTCGATGGCAGACAGTGGGTAGTGGACGACGGCAATGGGGGGTCTTGGGAGGACGATAGGTCAGTCTCAACGATTTGGGTGGGGATGAGAAAAATTATACTCTGCATAAAATGTGTGAGCTTTTAACATTTTATAGGCAAAAAATGCTGCATTTTTGAAATTTTAATTGGGAAAATTAATTTGCCAATCCTTAAAAAGCCTAAACTAATAGTGTTATAACGGAAGGACTTCCATCAAAACAAAAAAATATAATAAGTATTCAATAAAAAAAACTACAAGGACCTGATTCAAAACCAGGTAAAATTATAAGGATTGGCAAACTAATTTTTCCTTTTTAATTTTATGATTTTTCAAAGAAAAAATACTATCACATTGTCCAATTTCTTTTTAATTTAGATACAATTTTTTAAAGATCATAAAAAATTTAAAACTGCAGCATTTTTGGCCCTATGAAAATTTTTAAGTAGAATCTAATAATAAAAAAAAATATCTGGGAAGTTAAAAAAACTTAAGAGACAGTTGAGAGGGCTTCCGACAAAGGAATGCTTAGTTAGTTTTCTATGTTTGGTGGTTTCAATGGAATAAGAAATTTGTTTTATATCTCTTTCTGCTTTTTGTCCTCCTCCTTTTCAAAGATAGGCATACAGTTTGTTTTCTCTCTTAGTTCACATATGATCAATCAGTATATCCAGTATTAATACAGCAAAACAAAATCGTCCGGGTTTAGATTATATAAATCGATCTAAAGGCACCACAAATACCAATAACGTTAATTATATGTGTAACGAAAGGTCTATTTAAGATATGTCAAAAAAGAAACAAATAAAAAAGAAAAGGTGAATATATATAATTGATGAAACGTTATTTGATATGAACTTTCTACGCTGGCAAAACAAAATAACCGCATTCAATGGATTAAATTAATGAAAAAAATTAAAGCAATTAATCAAAGAGGATGGCATGGGCATAAAATTAAAAAGAAATCTTTTGTCATACTTTGTTGTGTTTACCCTTGCTCCCAAAGGAAGTAAACTTTCCACATAATCCACCATCATCATCAGGCTCATGGTCGTTCCGAAATGGATTTGAAACTTCCGTCCTTGTTGGTTCCAAGGATTATACAAAATCAATTTACCAGCACATTCAACAAGAATCTCATTATCTCCCCAGAATCCTAAAATATTCTCAATCGCAGTCAACGATCCAATCTTAAACTTCTTAGTCCAACTACTCTCAATACCATACTCGTTCATGACCCAAATCTCCACATGATGCTCGTTCAACGCATAGGAGAAATAGTTAGCAAAAATAGCAAGACTCCCATCTACTATTGAGAGAACATTACTAAAACGAGAGAGATTGGCCTCTGGAGGTAATTCGATAATCCCAAAAACCTCTTTACTATATTCAAAGCTCACAATAAGCTTATCGATATTATAATCATCATTAGCTAACCAGTGATGAGCCCCATTCAAATAAGACCTATTCATATAAGAAGAAGAGAAGAATTCAAAACTTGGGGCGACGACATCTATTGTTCTCCAGGAATTCATGCTGAGATTGTACACTTCAACTGCAGCAGATTGTTCTTGTTCTTCTTGAGGCCTGTTTGGAAATCCAACAATCTTGTAATCCTTTGTGATGGGATCAAACCCAAATCCAAACACAGCATCAAAAGCTCCCTTAATTTTGGATTGATGCTGAGAGGCTGGAACAACCTTTACCTCTTTAGTTGCAGGATTCCACAGAATTAAACGGCGCTGTTCATCATCGTTTGATCTAGAAGACCGATAGAGATAGAGACGGAGAGAGAAAATCCCATCACATTGACCACAAACTGATATCCATCGCAAATTTAAATCTTTCTCAGAGAAAGGCAATTCAAAGTCTTGGACTAAACGAGGTTCCTCTCTATTAGAAAGCATGGAAATGGAGGGCGGCGTATAGGGATTCGATTGGAACATGAGCTTGAAGCAGCGATTTTTGCTGATAGTATAGGACTGTTCAAGATGTTTGTTAATAAAAGATGGGTCAGTGATTAGGGCGTGCCAGGATTTGGCTACACATTTGAATCGAAGCAAGGATTTTACAGGTAGCCTCGCCATGATCTCCGTCATGAGATCTTCAGGAAGATTGGCGCTAAGCATTTTCTTATCGCTACAAAGCATCTAAGTCTAAGATCGTCTGTTTCTCTCTTATGGGTATTACTTCTCTTGGATTCAGAGAAAGATCAAGGAATGATAAAATGTGTTGTGTTGCTGATATGGGAGGATGTTTATTAGTAAATTATTATATATATAATTATAATCTCTTGATTTTCATCTGCCAAAAGAAAGTGGTAAAAACTCTTAATTTGCGTATTATTTTCATAATTATCTTTAATGTTTATTATTTTTAACTGTACTTTCGTCCCAATATTTAATTTGGTTTTGTATTTCAAATTTTATTTTCATTTTTGAATTTTTGTAATATAACAAAAAATTCAATTTATTCATAATTTTAATTGTGGTTTGCCTCAATAGAGGTAACAATAGAATACAATCTCTGATCACTCGATATCTCTTAATTATTATCGCATCGTATCTGATAAAAAATATTTGAGATAATAATAAATTTTCAGAAATTGTACCTAACGAAATATTAAGAATCAATAGATTCATTTTGCCCACCAAGAAAAAAAATCAAGAGATTTCCAAGGAATAGTTTCAAAAATGTTACAAAAGGTTCTAAGAATATATGCCAGGGGGAAAAGTTAAACTTATATGCGAAGGAATATATGTTTTGATCCTTTATTTCTGTATAAATGATTTTACACTTTTTAGTTTTATTTTGTTTTATAGTAATTCTCTAACTTTTAAAATATGGTCAAAAGCTTTGTAATTATTAACAATGTTAAATATTAAATAAGTTAACACTGAAAAATCAGTAATTAATGTATAATAATTACAATGAAGATATTTTTAAGGCTTTAAAATAATAAATATCAAGTTTAAAATAATTTAAAGTAACATATTAGAAACTATAACTTTAAAATAAATAATTTTCGTTTCCAAAATGTTTTGTATTGGCACGATGGCAGAGCTCCATTGAAGGTAAGGCCGGTTTTCCATGGCGGACGGTGGGTAGCGGAAGACGGCAATGGTGGGATTCGGAAGGACGATGGGTCAATATTCAGGATCCAGGTGTGGATGAGAAAAGTTTTTCAAGGGGGAAAAAAATATTTTCCACACGATTATGTTGGAAAGTGATTTTCCACCATTTTTTTTTCATTTGGAAAATCATAATTATATTTGGAGAATAAAATATTCACGGTTAACGAGTTCAAATTTCGTATTGGTAAGTGCAAAAAAAAAAAAATTTATGCAAAACAAAGCTCTTATCACACACCTATATTTTGTATACTGTGAAATCATTTTTAAAAAATTAATGCAAACACTTCTAATTGGTTTTAAAACATTATTACTCGGTCTTTCAGCCTTCTCGTGGATTTCATGTAGATTCTAGCTGTTTTTTTGTCTTCGATTTGAGGTGTCAACTACTCCTCTTTTGCTGGCGTTTAATATTTTCTACTTCTCAAATATTTTATTGGTTTTTTTATCATTATATTCTATATAAAATAAGTAACATTTTGATATTTTATTTGTAAAAACTTATACGATTTTCAATTTTTTACAATTTTTAAACAAATTATATCTAAATTTAAAAAAATGTATTTTTTTACAAGTAAAATATCAAAATGTCACTCATAAAAAACCAAAAAAAATAAAAAGGTAAAAAAAACATTAATGAACAACAAAGGGAGCTTCAAATCTGGGAAATCCGCTATCCTTTATGAACAAATTAAATTGGTAGAATAAAGAGTATCTAAAACCACAAACAGTATATTAATAGGATATAATTTAAAGTAAAATAATGCGAGCATCCACATCATTGCCTTCTTCCATTGAAAATCGTCCCACCCTGAATTTATGCACCTTCTTCATCATGTTTCTGGAAATTATATGCAAAAATTTTTAATAATGTCATTATTTAGAAATTAAAATTATTTTTATTAATATATTTTTAAAACTTGTAATTTTAAATGAATTTATAATCCCATTTTTAAATTTAATAATAATTTTAATCTTTAAATTTGGTTGCAATTTTTACTAGGGAAAATTAGAGAAAAAGAAATAGAGAGAATAATATTTATTAGAGAGGACCATACAAATTGTAATTATTGGAAAGAACCGAATATTAAAATATAAATATATAAATAGAAATTCCTGCTCTTACATTTTTTCCCACATTCCCTATTCTATTTTTAAAATTAATGTGAATTTTTAAATTTCATGGATTAAACCAAATTTCCCTCCAATTTTACAACTTGTGTAAATATCTGATTATAAGTTATTCCCGAGCGTTGTTCACTTATGACAAAATAGAATTTTATTTTCAAAATCAACACAAACTTTATTTAAAAATTTAAAAATAAAAGTTATATAATTTTAGTAAAATTTGGAAGTATACTTTAATTTATTATATATGTTAAATAAAGGTTACATGTGTCCCGAAAATTAAAAAATTACGCAATTTTTTTAAAAAATAAAAGAATATAAAAAGTTAAATATTAGTATATCCAGTATTAATATAGCAAGACAAATCATCAGAGTTTAAATTATATAAATATAATGGCACCACAAGTACTAATGTTAATTATGTGTAACAAAAGGTCTATTTAAGATGGTATCATAAAAAAAAAAGAAGGTCTATTTAAGATATGTAGAAAAGAAAAAAAAAGAAAAAGAAAAGGGGAATACATTATACAAGTATACAACTAATGGATGGAATATTATTGTTTATTCAATATAAAGTTTCTATATTAGCAAAACAAAATAACAGCATTATTCAACGGATTAAATAAAAAAATAAAACAGTTAATTAAAGTGGATGGGGATAAGTGGACATAAAAATAAAATAAAAATTATTGTCACATGTCTTTTAGTTTCCACCTTGCTCCCAAAGGAAATAAACTTTCCTCATAATCCATCATCATCAAGCTCATCCTTCCAAAATGGATTTGAAACTTCCGTCTCTGATGATTCCAAAGATTATGTAAAATCAATTTGCCAGAGCATTCGACAAGAATCTCATCATCTCTCCAAAATCCTAAGATATGTACCATGTTTGGGAATGATCCAATCGTAAACTTCTTAGTCCAACTACTCTCAATACCATACTCATTCATCACCCAAATCTCAACACTCTCATGGAACTTACCTGCGTAATATGTAGCAATAATAGCAAGACTCTTATCTACTACTGCAATATTAAAAGGAGCGAGGGTAATCCCAATAGGAAATCCGATATTGCCAAAAACCTCTTTACTAAAATCAAAGGTCACAATAGGCTTATCAATCTTATAATAGTCATTAGTTAACCAGTGATAAGCCCCATTCAAATAAGATCTATTCATATAAGACCCACATAAAGGATGATCGAATTCAAAACTTGGGGCATCAATAATATCTATTGTTCTCCAAGAATTGGTGCTGAGATTGTACACTTGAACTACAGATTGTTCTTGTTCTTCTTTCTGAGACTTGTTGGGAAATATTCCAACAACCTTGTAATCCGCCGTGATAGGATCAAACCCAAATCCAAACATGGCATCAGAAGCCCCATGTTCAGATGTAGGAATAACCTTTACCTCTTTGGTTAAAGGGTTCCACAAAATTAAGCGGTGTTGTTCATCATGGTCAAAATAGCCCTGAACACTTAACAGATCGAGATGGAGGCAGAAAATCCCATTACACTGACCATAGCCTGATATCCATCGCAACTTTAAATCGTTCTCATAGAAAGGCAATTCAAAGTCTGGGACGATCACGCCGGGCTCCTCACTACTATTAGAAAGCAAGGATATAGAGGGCGCCACATTGGGATTCAATTGGAACATAAGCTTGAGGCAGCCATTTTTGTTTATAGAATTGGACCATTCAAGACACTTGGTACAAAAAGATGAGTCGGTCATTAGGGCGTACCAGGATTTGGCTACAGATTTGAATCGAAGCAAGGACTTTAAAGGCAGCCTCACCAAGATGTCCTTCATGACATCTTCAGGAAGGTAGGCGCTTAGCATTTTCTTGTTGCTGCAAAATATCTGAGTGGTATGTTTCTCTTGTGGGTATTGTTTGCTTCTCTCGGATTCAGCCAAATTCGATGAATGTATTATGTTGCTCATAGACATGGGCATGGCTCGGAGTAAAAAGAGAAACGCTCCATGATTTTTAGGGTTTTAATGTGTGGTGAAACATGCGGGAGGATGTTTAATTTATTGGTAAATTATTACATTTATTACCACTGGATTTTCATATGCCAATAATAGAAAATGGTAAACCACTCTTTAATTTTTATATAGATTTTATAATATATCTTTGATTTAATGGCGCATCTGACTTGTTCTTTTCCGGTGTCAGTGAGATCGGAGGACGAGGAGGTGTTGAAAGATTGCTTAGCTTTACTTAGGTTTTTTTTTACAGATTTCAGTTGTTATTATTTGTGTGTGTGTATATTGTTGGTAAATACTCCTCCGATCCTAAATGTAAAACCTCGGTGGACTGGAATTTACACTACAACATGAGTCTTACATTTAAGATAGGAGTAATATGTAAAGAAACCTCCAATAGAAATAGAATTTCTCCAAATGTATTATATCTCTTTCTGCCTTTTGTCCTCCTCCATTTCAAAGATAGGCATATATAATTTGTTTCTTACTTAGTTCACACATAAATTAATTAGTATATCCAGTATTATTAATATAGCAAAGCAAGATCATCAGAGTTTAAATTATATAAGTCTAATGGAAAATATGAAATACCAATGTTGATTATGTGTAACAAAAGGTGCATTTAAGATAGGATTTGCATTGGGTGCTCATCAGTTTTGATGAGCACCCAATGCTCATCAGATCTGGACCGATCTGGACGATCCAGATTTATTTTTATTTTTTAAAAAATAATTATTTTAATAAATATAGGATAAAAAATAAAAATAATTTTTTAACTATCATTCTTTAAAAATATAATTTTTTCTATTTTAAAATAATTATTTAATAATATTAAATCTGGACCATTAAATTGCTCATCAAGTGATGAGCATTGGATGTTCATCACCTGATAAGCACCGAATGGGGACCCATCTATTAGCACCAATCCTTTTTCTATTCTTCAACATGTCCCTTTGATGGGCCAAATGGATATGGGCCCAACATACGTAGGTGGTTCTCAAGGCACAACATGTATGGACATCATGCATAATAATGGGATGTCTCATGAAGACACGCTAGCTACCCCTTCGGATGACCCCTTGGTTGCGGAGCCGACCTCCTCCTCTCTTTTGGATATTGTCCAGGCGCGGGATGTTAATGACGTGCCAAATTTTGAAAATGTATCTTTATGAACTACATAATCTGGAATTCGAGAGGTACAGGGGCAAAGACTTTTGCTAAACTGACCCATGAAATTAAAAACCACTTCCAGTTGGATTTCCTGGCTCTGGTGGAGACTCGTGCAGATAAATCAAACACAGAAAAACGTATTGGACGCCTTGGTTTTCTAGACTATACTTATATTGAAGCTGAAGGTTACGGTGGGGGGATCTGGTGTCTTTGGAATGCTGGGATTAGGAAGCTCGAAGTCCTTGAATGAAATAGACAATTCATTCACTTTAGAATTGAGAATAGCCACCGTGATACCTGGGTTATGACAGTTATTTACGCAGGCCCAAATGTTATGATGCGTCGAAATTTATGGGGGCAACTCGCCCGAATCGCTAGCGTCACTCAGGAGCCATGGTTACTCGGCGGCGATTTTAATGCAATGCTATTAGAGTGGAAAAGACGATCTTCTGCAACCTATAAACTTTCAGCTGATAATGACTTTTGCAGATGGTTTGATGAGAGCAATCTTTAGGATCTCGGATACTCTGGCCCCGATTTAACTTGGAAAAGAGGGATGTTGGAAGCTCGGTTGGATCGCTTTTTAGCAAACGAAGCTCGATGTCAGTTATTCCCTCAGGCAAAGGTTGCTCACTTGCCTTTCTATAAGTTTGATCATCGTCCACTTCTTCTTCGTCTTGACTTACGCACAGAACGACCACGTCATCCCTTCCGTTTTATTGCATCCTGGATCCTGCACGACAATTTTAATGATTTCGTACGTGATAATTGGAAGGAGCATCTGGATTGGCAATCTAATATTACTCAGTTCATTGATGCTTGCTGAGTTTGGAACAAACAAGTCTTTGGGCACATCTAGGACCGTAAACGAAAACTCATGAGACGATTAGATGGGGTAACTCGAGCTATTGCTCGTGGTGCTAATCGAAGCTTTTATGAAGACATTCAGTTTTTTTTTTTGCTACAAAAATTTTAAGAAAGGGGTCGAGCTCACCCACGATCCAAGGGCAGGGCCCCTAACGCTTGATCCACTGGGGCCTGTCCCTATGGGCACGGGAGCATGACAAGCAAGCCCTTTTTTTCTAGCCCAAAGGTAGGAATCACCCAGCTTCACTACGCTTGTGGAGATGCCTCCCCCAACGCCGCGACTGGAGCCATAACAAAGTGGCACTCCCCAGGATCGAACCCCCTCCTTTTGGTGAGAGAGTCCGACCCCTTCACCAGCTAAACCCACGGACGAGGGGTATGAAGACATTCAGTTAGAAATATGGAAGGAGCTTGAGGGTGTGATTGCCCAAGAATCACTCTTATGGGCTCAAAAGGCACGTGTTAATTGGGCCGTATATGGGGATCGTAACTCCAAACTGTTCCATGCCCATGCCAATAAGCGAAGGAAGGTTAACCGTGTTGATGCTATTCAACTAGAGGATGGAGCTTGGTGTTATGACACAGAAGAAATTAAACAGCAGGCTACTGCCTTCTTCTCCTCTCTATTTCAAGAGGACCTTCTTGTTCGAGATAGCCTGAATTGCAGAATCACCTATCCCCCACTTGATGAGGTGTTTCGTAAAGGGTGTGAACGTGCTGTTGATGGAGAAGAAATCAAAAGTGCCTTGTTCAGTATGGGACCCCTCAAGTCTCCAGGGCCTGATGGTTTTAATGCACTCTTTTTCCAAAATCAATGGGGAAGGATCCGAAACTCACTGGTGACATGTGTTCAACGACTCTTTGACCGCCCTGACACGTTAAGAGAGATCAATGGTACCTTGATTGTGCTTATTACCAAAAAGGACCCACCGGAGACTCTTAAAGATCTTCGCCCCATTAGCCTTTGCAATGTAGTATACAAGATTGCGACTAAGATTATGGTAAATCAAATAAAGACCTTTTTGCCCCAAATCATCTCTCCAAATCAATGTGGCTTTGTGCCCGGTCGTCTTAGCTCTGACAATACCATTGTGGCTCAAGAAGTTATTCACTCTATGTGTAACATGAGGAGTAAAAAAGGCTTAATGGCTATTAAGATTGACCTTGAGAAAGCCTACGACTGTGTCAATTGGAATTTTCTAATGGGATGTCTCAAGGAATTACAGCTCCCTAATCATTTTGTAGACATTATCTCCTCATGTGTTAGCACAGCAGACTTTCAACTATTATGGAATGGAGACAAGGCTAAGAATTTTTCTTCCTCTAGGGGTATGCGCCAAGGAGACCCAATTTCCCCTTATCTGTTTGTTATATGTATGGAGAAACTAGCTCATATCATCCAAGAAGAGATTGAAGATAATCACTAGCGTCCTATTAGACTCACTAAAACAGGAACACCCATCACTCATCTTTTTTTTGCGGATGACGTCCTTCTTTTTGCATAAGCTAATCTCGAACAAGCAGATTTGATTAATCAATGCCTTGAGAAATTCAGTAGAAGCTCTGGACTGAAGGTAAACCACTCAAAGACTCGCATTTTCTTCTCCACGAACATAAATCATCATAGGTGCTCAGAAATTAGTGGTAGGCTGGGGTTCACTCAAACTTTAGATCTTGGAAAATATCTGGGTGTGAATCTACACCACACACGCATCAACAAGGGATCTTTCTAAAGTGTTGTGGATAAAGTCAAAACCAGACTCTCCAAGTGGAAGACAAGTTCTCTCTCTCTCGCAGGAAGAACAACATTGATATCGTCAATCATGTCCGCCATCCCTAATTACATCATGCAAACCTCGCTTGTACTGTCACCAACATGCGAGACACTAGACAAGCTCAATCGAGGATTCCTTTAGGGCAGTTCAGCAGAACACCGGAAAATGCCGTTAGTGACTTGGGATGCGGTCTGTCAACCTAAATCCAGAGGAGGGCTAGGACTTCGACATACAAAGCTTCAAAACCAAGCTCTCCTCATGAAACTGGGATGGAGACTTGTTAAATGCAGAGATGATTTCTGGGTCAAGGTCCTTCGTGATAAGTACTGATGCGGCGATGATTTAATGCCCAAAATAGATCCAAAACAGGGAGGCTCTAACATTTGGGCTGGCATCAAAGCCACGTGGGAGAGGGTGGCTGCTGGTATTGAGTGTCTAGCTGACAACACTGTGAAGTGGAAATGGGAGCGTAATGGATTATTTTCTATAAAGTCGGCCTATGACAATATTAGCCTGGAGATTGCAGATTCAGATCCACACTGGAAACGAATATGGAAGCTAGCAATTCCCCAACATTGCAGAACTTTTATCTGGCTAGCCTCCCGCAAAAGCCTCCTCACGAATGCTGCGAGACATAGACGGGGTCTAAGTATGGATGATCAGTGCCCGATATGTCATAATGGCGTGGAAGATGTACTACACGTTCTTCGAGACTGCACCAATACTTGGCTCCTTTGGAAAGGAGTGGTTAACGCATCAACCTGGAAGAGGTTTTGCTCCCTTGTTTCCTCTAACTGGCTCAGATGGAATCTGAATTGTAGAAATCATAATGAGAAAGAGTGGGGTTCTCTCTTTGCAGTTGTATGCTGGTGGCTATGGAGACGTTGTAATCTGATCATATTTGAAGGAAAAGAGTTGCGTAATGAAGCAATCATCGCAAACTCGAAAGCCATATTAAGTTCCATGCACGAGATCCAGGGACACTTACGTGGAACTTCTATAGAGTGCGTAAAACACAGCAATGGGGAAGAAAGATGGAGACCTTCGGACAATAATTGGATCAAAGTGAACGTCAACGGTGCCTACTCACCTGACAGAAACATTAGTGCTTGCGGTGGCCTTCTTCGGAACATGCGGGGCGAATTTCTTCGTGGCTTTATCTTTCATATCGGGTAGGGTGATGCACTGACAGCTGAGCTACAAGCATGCTTACATGGACTGAAAGTGGCATGGGACAAAGGTTATAGAAATGTCATACTTGAGTCTGACGCTACTAGTGCCATTGAACTACTCTCAGAGGACCCCAACGAACTTCATGATGACTATGTGATAATCAGAGAGGCCCGAGCATTGTTGACTAGGGAGTGGAACGTGAAGCTCTCATATGCACCTCGTAGCTGTAACCAAGCTGCTGATCTGTTAGCAAAGCTCGGTCTTGGGACGATGCCAGACGTGTATATTCTACAGAACCCTCCTCAGCAAATAAATAGGGTACTGGATATTGAGTGGTTGTGTGCTGACAACAGCCATGTAAGGAGTTGTTAAGGTTTCCTCTTGTTATCAAAAAACAAAAAAAAACAAAGTAGAAGCATTCAATAATTCTGACCCAGAAAAATAGCAGCATTCAATGGATTAAATAAAACAAATTAAACAATAGGAAAATCCCCAAAATAATACATCTGAAATTTCAAAGTCACAAATAAAAAATGATAACAAGAAATTGTTGTCATTTGCTTTTTAAATATTGTCAATTGGTATTAAAGTGTAGTAAATAAGACTAATTTAAAATTTTAAAATTCAAAGATATTTTTGTAGGATTCTCCCTAAAGCAATTAAAAGAGGATGGGATGGACATAAAAATAAAATAAAATTTTTTGTCATACGTTGTTGTGTTTCCCCTTTCCTCCCAAGGGAAATAAACTTTCCACGATCCACCATGATCATCAAGCTCACGGGCGTTCCGCAATGGATTTGAAACTTCCGTCCTTGTTGATTCCAAAGATTATATAAAATCAATTTACTAGAACATTCAACAAGAATCTCATTATCTCCCCAAAATGCTAAAATATGCTCAGTCACAATCAATGATCCAATCTTAAACTTCTTAATGCAACTACTTTCAATACCGTACTCGTTCATCACCCAAATGTCAATGCTATGCTCATTCAACTCATAGGAGGAACAGATAACAAAAATAGTAAGTTGGATATTACTGAAACAAGAGATGGGAATCTCAGGAGGAAGTTGGATAATCCCAAAAGCCTGTTTGCTATAATCAAAGCTCACAATAAGCTTATTATCAATACTACAATCGTCATTAGCTAACCAGTGATGAGCCCCATTCAGATATGATCTATTCATATGAGACTCCCATGAAGGATAATAGAATGCAAACTGGGGCCTTCAACATCTATTGTTCTCCAGGAATTGGTGCTTAGATTGTACACTTCAACTACAGATTGGAAATCTGTCAATCTTGTAATCTTTTGTGATGGGATCAAAGGCAAATCCAAACACAGCATTAAATCATTCTCATAGAAAGGCAATTCAAAGTCTTGAACCACAAGTTTCCTCTCCATGAAAATGAGAGCACATGAAGGGCGTCACAAAGGGACTCCATCGAAACATAAGCTTGAGGCAGCCTTTTTTTTTTTTTGATAGAATATTTTGTTAATAAAAGATAAGTGAGTGATTAGGGCGTACCAGGATTTGGATATACATTTGAATCGAAGTAAGGATTTTACAGGCAGCCTCGCCATGATCTCCATCGTGAGATCTTCAGGAAGATTGTTGCTCAGCATTTTCTTATTGCTGCGAAGCTTCTCTCTTGGATTCAGCGAAAGTTCAGTGAAGGTATTATGTTGCTCATGGTCACGGCTCGGAGAGAAAAGAGAAAGGCTCCATGGTTTTAGGAACAATATGTTTTTTTTTTTAATTTTTAGTTTTTTTCCTAATATTTATTTTGATTTTTGTTTCAAATTTTGATTTCATTTTTCAATTTTTGCAATATAAAACAATTCACTTTATTCATATTAAAAATTATGGTATTGGTATGCCTCACAAAAGGTGACAATAAAAGACAATCTTTCATTATTAGATATCTCTTAACTAATATCGTATCTGGCAAGAAAATATCTGAGGTAATAATAAAATTTCAGAAATTGTAACCGACGTAATATTAAAAATAAAGGTATTAACAATCCAATTTGCACTGATGCCCAAAAAAAGAACAATCAAATTTGCACGTTTATTATCTAATTCATAATATAATGTCTTAATTTTCGCTGGCCAAAAGAGAATATCTTAATGTCATTCATTTTTGGGTACGTAAACAACTCTCTTTTTGTATAGACTTCGTTTCATATGTAGAAAACAACTCTTAATGCGACGACATTGTTATTATGTTATATTTCTAATATTATTATTTTTATTTTGATTCAATTTTTCATTTTTTATTATCGTATTATGAATAATAATTGCACCTGTTTATTTCAATTAATCATTAATCACAATATTATTCATTGAGCATTAGTAGCGATGAAAAGGAAGAGATTTAATATTTTGAAAAGAAAATCGCTGATTTCGGGGGAGAAAAGTGAAGTCAAAGAATGAAAAATTCAAACAAAATTAAGAGATTAGACTAAAGGGAGCAAACACCTTTTGACCTTATTTTTCGCCAATTTTTTTCCTTAACCAAAGCACCATTTCTTATATTAATATAGACCGAGATTGAATTAATTTGAATCTATAAAGATATTTTTGACCATGTTGAAAATACCCTAAGAGAATTAGGTTTTCATTTTTAGAGGGAATGTGGGGAGTGAGTGAGTTAGGAATAATTTAGCATTGCCACATTTATATTTTTGGTTTTTACTTTATAGTCCTTCTAAAAAATTAAAATTTTTAACATCCTCTCCAATAAATATCATTCCCTCTAGGTCATTTGCTATGATTTTCCCTAACTCATAGTATGCCTTTTTAATCGATAAAGATAATTTGTGTCTCATCATGTATTGGAAATCACATGATAAAATAGCTTAAATTTTCGATAAAAATAAAACCTCTTAATCAAGAGATCTTAAGCAAGAGTTTCGAAAGGATATAAAAGCTTCAAAGAATTTTTGGAGGTAAAAAAAGCTTACAGATAACAAATAGATTGTTTTATATAATTAATTTTCGTATTACTATACCCCAAGCTTGAGGCTCTACAAGCCTCCCCATGTCTAGTTTTGCATGTTACGACAAAAAAGTATAATCAATTTCTTGCTCAGTTCACATGATGAGTTGAATTTGAAGTCTGCATAATTCCATAATGTATAAACAAATTAAGATAAGATTTGAGGTTAAAAAAAAAGAATAATATATTTTAAAAAAATAAAAGATCTAAATTTAAATATTAGTTATTAGATCTATAATATCATCAAAACAAAACAAAATGAATGAATTAACTATCTATATAACCATCCAATATAACTTTTCTATATGGGTGAAACAAAATAAATGAACTCAGTGCATATTGGTAATCGGAGAATACCCCTAGCTAGTATTAGAAAAATATAAAAATGATAGAATAAGAGGAGATAAATGTTGAAAACAAAATAAATATAAACTTCCATCATACTTTCTTGTGTTCCCCCCTTTGTGTGAGAGGAACCAAACTTTCAACGTAATCAAACACCCAAGTCAGTTTTGGAACACGGGTGTGTAACCTCTGTCTTTGTTGATTTTGAAAATTATATGAAATTAATTGGCCATCATCATCATCATTAAGAATCACAAAATTATCTCCCCAAAACCCTAATAGCGACTCAAGCTTAGGAAGTGGTCCGATTACAAACTGTTTAGTCCAACTACTTTCTACACCATACTGATTCATCACCCAAATCTCAAATTTGAGAGGCCAGTTATATGCAGTAACACAAGCAAGACAATCATTGGCCACAGCAACATTTGCAACACACGAAAGATTAATCCCAGGATGAAGTTGGATCGTCTTAAATACTTCCTTGTTAAAATCAAAGCTCAAAATAAGGGCATTATTATCAATCTCATCGTTTCGGACAAAAGCTAACCAGTGATAAAACCCATTCAAATATGAACTCCAGCTTGGATAAGCCAATTCATAATTAGGGACATCAACATCGATTGTTCTCCAAGAATTAGTACTAAGATTGTACACTTCCACCGGAGGTTCTTCTTCCTCCTCCTCCTCCTCCTCCCAAGGCTTTTTTACAAACCGAACAACCTTGTAATCCTTTGTGATGGGATCGAATCCAAATCCAATAATCGAATCATCCATGTATTCGGGTTTTCTCTGTGAGGCAGCAGGAACAACCTTAACCTCTTTTGATCCTATGTTCCACAACAGTAATTGACCCTCATTATGTCCTTTAAAAACTAAATGCAGACAAAAGATCCCATGACATTGATCGTAAATGAATATCAGTTCCAAATCATTCTGAAGGATTTGGGGCAATTCTATGTGGTGGAGCACATAGGGTTCATCTTTGGAAATGAGGGATATGCAGGGTGGATGTTTACGTGGACGATGCGATTGGAAGATGAGCTTGAGGCAGCGATTTTTGGTGATAGAATTGGAATATTCAAGCTGTTTGGTGATAAAAGAAGAGTCAGTGATTAGAGCGTACCAGGATTTGGCTACACATTTGAATCGAAGTAATGATTTTATGGGAAGCCTCATCATGATCTCCATCATCAGATCTCCAGGAAGATTGCTGCTCAGCATTTTCTATTTCTCTGATCTTGTGGGTGTTCTTGCTCTTAGATTCACCAAAAGTCCCAGAAAGGTGTTCTTGTTCTTGTTCTTGGTCTTGTTCTGCGGGATATTTATATATATCTTTTGAGAGTAATATGATTTTCCAGAATGAAAAGATATGAGAGCATGGTTTTAATATTTATATATATATAAATTAGCATATTCATAATCTCTTGATTTTCATTGGCCAAAAAGAATGGTGAACAACTCTTAATCTTATATTGTTTTTATATTATATTTTTAAATTTTACTTATACTGTTATTTTTATTTGTTTTGTGAATGTAACAAATAATTTTACTTTATTATTTCAATCAATCTTATAGTCACGCAATATTATCTCTTGAGCATGAGCAGTGAACTGGTGATAGAAAGGGAGATATTTAACATTTTTAAAAATAATCACAGATTTAGGGGGAGGATATAGAATCTTTTGAAATTAAAGTTGCTAGATATTTCTGAAATAAAATTTGATGATGGGAACTGGTTATTAGAACGAGATAAAATACAAGAAAATATCATTAAAAAAATGCTTAATTACTTGAAGCTTGAGAGGCAAATATTTTTTTAAGAAAAAAATAAAAGTCTGGAAGGGTACAAAGTCTATCATCAGTAAAGAATCTGTGAGGATTCTGCATGAAGATACTGGAATGACATCTGGTTGGAATTTCCCTCCCCATGCTTAAAATTAACTGTGATGGGGCTTTCAAAATAGACTCTAATCTTGCCATCTTGAATCGTGATCCTCTTAGAATCCGTTTTTACCTTTTATTCTCAGAATCTCTTCTCCATCCTTAGATGAAAAAAAATGATTGGTTTAGATGTAATGTTTTATAATCATTAAAATATTTCATAAATTAATTTTTATATTACCCGTGTGAACTCTCCAGATTAAATGTTTACAATTTAATTTTATTTATTTATATCTAAATAATATCATAATAATACTTTATAAGATATTACCTTTGAACCATCCATTTTTTTCTATGTGAGGATGAAGAAGGGATTCGGAAAAGAAAAGATAAAAAAAAATGAAAGTGCCTTTGATTTGAAAAGCATTGTAAGATATTATAATGCTATTATGCTTTTCTCTAGTTGTTTCTTTGTTAATTCTGAACGTTGTATAAGCTTTGATTAGCAATGGAAGTACATTTGATTTTTCTTTTTTAAAAAAACATTAGTAAAGAAATTCAACAATTTCCGGCAAAATCATTATTTTACTCCCCAACACATATTGCACTATCTCTTATTCTTAGTCCTAAATATAAAAATTAGTTTAACATTCAATTTAATCCTAAATATAAGACTCAAATCTACTTTATTTATCATATTTAATCTTTTTTTCAAAATAGTCATTGCAGTAGTTACATATGTTAAAAATTTCATCAAATAATAGTTATAGTTAATATACATGATCAACAAAGATATTTTAAGAAAGACAATACCTATTTATTACAAATAATTAATTTAACAAATTTTTTAATCTACTCAAATTAGTTAACTCATTTTTATATTAAGTATCAAGGTAGTACTACATATATTAACGAGAGAATTGTTACTTTGTTGTCTATTCAACATAAATCTTTTACAATGATAGTATGGCGTAAGAAAATAAAACATCCGATCATCCGATGTGTTAATTACTTGGTGGACATTAACTTTAGTCTGAAAAAAAATAAAAACGAAACAAAAAGATCGAGGAGAGGATAAGACTTGTAGAAAAAAAATGTGTGACTTTTCAATTCTGCCATTCATTAAAATTCATGAAATTAATAAAGTGTGTCTATGAATTAAGAGTACGTATGCCAACAATTTGCTGCAGTAAGGAGGGGAATATTTGGGGAAAAAACTAATTACAATATCTTTAATTTGCCCTAAATTTAGGACCCATTAGGACTTTAAAACATTTCCTATAATTAGGACCGGAGCTACGGAGCAAAATTCTTGGGCGTACAATGAACTAAATTTGTAGAGGTCATTTTGTTCCGAAGTTCAAAGTGCAATTTTTATTTTTACTAATAAAATTATTTGAACATGAATTTGCAAATCATGTCAAGTGTTCTGCTTTGGAGATGAAGGATTCAATGCAAAAGATTCTGGGTGCATTTGGGTATAAACCAAAACATGAATTTAAAAATGATTTTACAATATATGAAGTAGGCATATAATAAGGGTGTTTTTTTTTTAGATTTCCAATCATAGTTCATCTCTGATTAGTGTGTTTACTAAGAATGGACATGTGGATTAATGATACAAGAATATAATAAGGAAAATTCTGTGGAAACAAAAAGCTGAAAATTACTAAATTTAAATCAGGAATTTTTTTTATAAAAAAATTTCTGTTAAAATGCAGTTTAGTAATTTACTCATTCATCACTGAAATCTCGTTTTTTTTTTTTTGGTTGCCCAGAAGATCCTTCTATCCGAACGGTAAGAGGCTAATCTCTCGGGATACTGTCAAGCACAATAACAGGAACCCTCATAACAGTGTTTTTTTCATACACACCGCCTAAGAATCAAACCTAGAACATAATATTTAAGATGCCCAATTCTTTTTTACTTGAACGAACACTTGGTGAAAATCTCATGTTTTTGAGTCGCGCGCTAACACACACAAGCAAGGCTCTCAGGAGGCAATTGGATCCCCCAAACACTTCTTCGGTAAAATCAAAACTCAAAGTAAAGTCGTATGGGCTCATTTAGAGTCGCCCCTAACCAATGATAACCTAAGTCGTTTATATAAAAACGACTTGATCCAAAGTATAAATAACTTAAATGGTAATTAATACTTATCAATTTTAACCCGGCAATTAATGTTTAACGTTTTATATTTTTCTTGCTCCTTCACAATCTTATTTAATGAATAAAGTTTGGGAAAAAAAAAGTTCAATTTGAGACAAATTTAATCAATTAACTCCCACTTTTTGATGCTACTCACGCAAGTAATGCCGAAAAGCGAGCGTATCGCCTCCATATTCTGCCCATTTTCATGAATGCAAAAGCAAGCAGCTACAAGAAACACGCTATTAGTGTCTCAAAGCACATCCGAAAGACAATTATATATCACAGATCATACACAGCCAGATGATTGTAATTTCAGATCCAGTTTCCTCCCTCAGGCTAAACAAGAAGATTATTCTGCCAATCATTTGTTCAACACTTTCCACTCATTCATATTACTCCAATATGCCATTCTTGGAGTTTTAAATTAAATTCTATGCTTTTAGGTCAAATAAATAAGTAAATTCATTCGATGCTTCTGCACTGTTGCCAGACAGACCTTGCACCTTCTACCTCAGTCCGTTTAATTAACACCACAAAAAATCGGATCAAATTATACAAAAAATTTTCTCTTTTAACTGGAGGGGAAATGAAAAACAAATAGTGTGCTTAGGGCAAATGTGATTCATAGCTCAAAGATTCACAAGTACATGGTTCACTGGCTATTTATATCATTTTAATTAATAATCATACTAGTGCTACAACAATGCAGCTTTTATCTTTCTTGATCATGCGGGTAATTCCACATATTTTATATAATCTGTCTGTAACATGCAAAAGAAATGCCAATCACCGATCCCCATAAGGTTGGTAACTTCCAAATTATTAACTAGATCCTAGAGCATGCAAATCCCTAAAAGGCAAAGAATACTCTGGCTTCTACTGCGCACTTTATATAGCAGTCTCAAATGATCAGTTAGCATAATATCATGGTTACATAAGAAAGTAACACAAGTTTTACTAGGTGAGAATTCATGAAATAACCTGTGTCTTTGTATTTGACTGTACCCCAGATCAAAGTTAAGCATCTAGACTCTATCACTCGATAAAATGGAAAATGAAGAGGAACAGACACCAGAGTTCAGATCAATGAATCTACATTCTAGCATTCCATGAATGCATACAAAGGGCTAGAAGAATGTTTTTACTTGAGAATGGAAAATTTCCAGAAAAGCTACATCAACCACTAGTGTGAAGCAGCTCTTGGGAACCAGGAATTGAACAGAAAACATCGCGAAAGTCACCATAAATGGCAAGATATGTTACTTATGAATAAATATGTTATTGCTGTTTGAGTATAGCTGCACAGCATGAATTGCTTCAAGTACGTAATTATCCATGACGAACAGCACGATCACAACATTACCGTATGGATTAAAGCCTTTTTTCCCCTAATAAAAGGCCATGGTTCAACCATACAACAGAAAACAGTAAAAGACAAAGTCTCCTAATTACTCTGTTTATCCAGAACAATCAACAGTCTGTAGCCCAACGGAGGCTGAGTAAACAAGCAAAATTGAGTTTGAAGTTTCTGAATTGACTTAACCATCCAATTTGCATATTCATTATCTGCCCCATAAACTTGATCAAAAATAATAATTCAGTCTCTCACATAGTCACGCTTGATTTCATCACTCAAGAGCTCTATTGGCTGTCTGAGTCTGACAACCCATGAATAATGCTTGAAACATATAAAGGCCACAAAGTCACCATAATCAGACAGCCCAAAGATATTAATCGCCATTTTATATAGGTAACCTACCTGAAAACTGCATTTCCTCCAGGCTCATATTACCCTGAAGGTTGTTTGACAGTGCAGTGGCCACAAGATACCTCTCTTAATCAAAATATATACATTTGGCCATGAAAGCACACAAAATTGGGAACAAGCTACTCCTTCTACCATTCATACTCGATTGGCACAGAAGCAAGCATCACAGCATCAGAATGCAGCCTATCTTTGGAAGAAAGATATGAGACGGTCAATAGAATAGCATTACTGCATTACCCTTATACGCCTGATTCTTAAACGCATAATCATTATGCATTAAAAATCAGTGAAAATAAAAACTCTACTTTGGCTATAGATATCAGATCAAGTCGAATTACCATCAAGACTTAAGTAATCCAAAGAGTATAACAAACTACAGAAAGCCAAGGGGAAGTATGGGCACTTGGCAAGGTTAAATCTATGAATGTCTGCAACTGGAGACTCATTGCTCAAACCCAGCTATCTAATACGAAATTGAACAAAATTCATCTAAGATAAGCCGGGATCTTGATACGAATGAAAAGCATACTCATCACATAAGCAAGCAGGACGGAGAAGACGCCGGCAGAGGCGTATGAGACCTTGACACTTTTCGCGCGGTTGCGATCCAAAGCAAGATCCAATAGGACAATTCCGATCCCACCGAGAACGAACATGAAGCCAGAGGAGAGTCCTTCGATGATGTACTGGCCGTTGACGCGTCCGGACATGAAAACAACGGGTCGTACGGAGCCTGTGTATGGATCCTGGGTGGACCCGATGCCGGGGGGCTCGACGATGACGTCGTAGACGATGCCAGAGACGACCATGAAGTAGGTGAGGAGGACTAGCGCAAAGACGGTCATCGGAGATGGGAGGGTGAAAGATGGAAGCTTGAGGCGGAGGCGAGGCGGGCGGAGGAAGCTAAAGGGGAGGATCCGGACAATGTGGAAGAGGGGATCCATGGAAGCGGAAGACGACGAATCGGCGACGGTGGAAAAGGAAGAGCCATGAAGAGCCTGAGTTTCGTGTTTCGGCGGCATTTTCGCGGGTCGGGTCAGCGAAGTACAGATGGAAATCGAAGTGGAAGAAGATGGATCTAGCTCCAACACTGCTAGTGAATGATTCTACTCGACGGCTTTGACCTCATTGTGTGTGTTTGAACTTCAGATTCATTTGAGGAGCACTAGTTTTTTTTTTTTTTTTGGGGTACGTTTTCTTTGGATTAAATTTTTACGCTGTGAAAATGATGAACAAGGAGCGCCTTAATGGGCTGGACCAGTTCGTGAATATGTTTGGCCCAATTTCAAAAAGTTCAGGTTCAAAGAAAAGAAATATATTTTTTGTTTCAAAAACACACTATACTAATTTAAATTTTTGAGTATTACATTTCCCTTAATATATAATCATCTGATGTCCAAATATTCCCATGCTCAATCGGAATAAATCATATAACATGATTTTTTTTTCCATTTCATAAGATTCAAACTTTTGACTTTGCTTATGTTAAATTGAGTTCTTCTAAAATCGCCCATGCCTTTATTTTTTATATTCTTTCTACTTTTGGACTTATGCTGGTTTGGTATTGAATAGGAATGGGAAAAAAAATAAGAGAGAAATTACAGGGGCCAAGGGAAAAGAAAACGTAAACCAAAATATGTGAATAGTGTGGCTGAGAAAGAAAAATAGAATCATGTCACATTTCCTTATTTAAATAAGATGCTTCTTATTCTTCAAGAGAAGTTTGTTTCCAAAGAAAACCTTATTGACACATAACAAAGATGAGTTTATTTTCCCTCATTCTCTTTTTCTGCTCATATTTTTCTCTCCAACCAAGAGGACCTTGGCTCGCCTTTAATATGAAGAAAAGAGTATTAGAGTTCAAGTCAAATCAATGGGCAACAAATTTGAGGCACATATAGATTGTCTTCGAGTTTTTCAGTCTTGTGGATGATGTTTGGTATCTAACAACTTTTAGGTTCTCTTTGGTATGGGTTATTGTGATTGGTACTGGGATTGTCCATCTTGTTATGCTTAATATATATATGAAGATTGCATCTCGTCCCTTAAGCAAGTGGTTGGGGGTTCGATCCCCAACTCTTGTGAATGGAAAGCACCCCGTGACCAGTCTCTTACCGCTTTGTGCGCCGACCCAGGGACGGGGGATTAGTCTCACTACTATCGATGGCGGAGATACCCTGGAGCAATCCAAAAATATATATATATGAAGATTTCAACAATCTTGAAACTTATCAATATCACTTTTCATAAGATTATTCAGTATAACCACTTCTCAGTATTGAAAATTTAATCATGAGATTGATTATTTTCGGACCAATTCGCCCCTTTCCCACTACAAGGCTCCACAAGCCCCTCGACTTGGCAACCATTGTTATTAGGAAGAAGTAACCATTGGATCCAGTTCAAGTTCAATGATGTCTAACATCGGATCGAAGTGCTTCCTCCCATCATCAATCCCATGAGCAAGATCATGACATAAACTTATCCCCAGTTCTAATCCGAATCTCAATCTCATTCTCATTAGTTCCTTAAAATTTGGGCCAGCATATCAAACATCGCCTTAGGTTGTATACTTCTTGGGAAAAAAAAAAAATTTTTATTAAAAGTTATGACCTTGTCTTAAACCATCATTGGAAAGGCATGCCTGGGATACTTCAAGCTCCTAAATTTTGGTATATAACCCTTGACAATATTTCTCAACCTTAATATTTTTTACACACTCCAAACTCATTGATGTATTAAGTGAGCCCCTCTTGTTTCAAAACCAAAACCATAAGGGGAAAAAAAACAAGAAGAAGGATAAGAATAAAGAAAAAGGAAAGGAAAATTGAACACTGCTTAAAAAGAAATTCATTGAACCTTAATCATTCCGGTACAAAAGCTTAAAGACAATAGAAATAAACAAGTAGTTATTTAGAGCTAAACAAGACATGTGATATGTCACATGTGAGGGTCCTCATTGCTTTTGTTGTTGTTTGGAGTTTTGAAGGCAACCTAACAAGGACAAGACAAAAACAGTATGGAATTTATAAATTAGAAAAATGCTTAACAATAAACGGTGGAATAAGAAAGTCATGTGCATATCTTGCAAACATAAATGAAATCATGTGAAATCACCTTCCCCTTTTAGGTTCATTTATTTATCACTTAATTTAAACTTTGTGGGGAAAAAATAAAAGTGGTAGTTAGATTTTGTAACTAATCAACATTTATTCCTCTCATGAGTTTGTTGCAATGCAATGGTACCGTGTTGATATTCTTATAATAATTCTTTTATTCATTTAAATAAATTCGTTGTATTAACTACATTATTTATTAACTAAAAGTACAAAAATATATAAACATTATTTCACTGGTTATTGTATTAGGTAGCATAGGGATGGTCATATATTACAATAGTAGTGTTACTATGTGAATAATAAATATAGAATAAAACATATATTAGAGGCACTTATCAAATTTTTTTTCTATTAAATTTTACTTATGATATCTGTAATTTTTTTTTTTTTACAATTAACTTGGCCCAAACATATTTTATAAAATCACCAATATGAAAATATGTTGAATCTTGTTCAATTCAAGCAGGAAGAAGAGCAAATGCAGCCATTTGCTTGAAACTGATTGGGCAAGAGAATTCATTATCATCCCTTCATAAACTTCTCATTCACGGTAAAATTATAGTGTAATTTTCTTTTATATTTATTCTGTAATTTTTCGTCCAAATGATTTTTTTAATTGGATGATTCATAATTACAATATTACAAATATGTTAATTTACAAATAAAAATTAAAAAAATTGAAATACATCCAAAGATTGGAGGAAATTTAACCCCCTTTCCATTTAAGTGTTGTTCTTGAATTGATGGAAATCAATATACATTAACTAGCTCTCCTTCTATGTCCCTTTCATTTAATTGGGAAATAAATAATTGAGCAGTGAAGGAAATTAATTTATGGCCACTCTCGTCCTTGAGAACCAGCATCACTTGCAATAGAATTCATTTCCAGCTATTTTCATATTTTGAATAAAAAATAGCATGTCACTATTAGAAAAATTATATTTTTTTCTCACATTTTTTGGCCGTCAATATATTTCTCATATTTTAATTATCCATTTTTATCTCAATCGCGTCATATAAAGTCATTGTAAATCCTATGCACTGTATAATAATCAGAATTAAACATGATTTTTCACCATTTACGCTTTATTTACGGCAAGAGAGAAAATTAGAACACGGAAATAAGAGGAGAGAAGATATTTTCCATTATCATATATTGGGTTGAATAATAAAATGATTAATTTGTAATGATAATAATATTTCATACGAAAATATATGATCAAATGTCTCTTCTTCTTTCTTTTTTTTTCCTTTGGAAGAAATTTTAGAAAGTAGATTTTCGCTCTAAAATCTCTTTATTTTTGAAATATTTTAATCTTTTCAAAGAGACAAACATGAAAATGTTGATTAGTCTCATACCCTCGGCTGGGTATTATTTTATTCTCAAAATCTTTTAAATGATATCTCACATTCCAAAATCACAACCAGCTCTCATTATGTACTCCGGTTAGATTAACATTTAATTGTCAACATCAAGCATTAAAAAAGTACAGCGATAAGGACGAACAATAAACAAACAAATTGTTTGGATTACCTTTCAAACACGCATTCACTAACTAACAATTTGAGATCCTGATTTATTAGTTAAAATGATAAGCAGTTTTGTTTTCGTAAAAAAAAACATAAGTTTGCATTTTAAGAAATCCACTTATTAGGAGGTTTTTAATCTTAACGTTCTCATCCTGTAAAAATTAGTCTCACAACAAAACTCTGAGTTAAAAAAAAAAAAATTTATACCTCTAAATCAAAAGACACAATTTTCTTTTTGACTACGGAGATATTTGGATAGAAACCAAACCATAATTTCAGAAGTGTTTTTACAGTTTATAAAATAAATATGTGAAAGAATTTGTCTCGTTTTATAAAAAATTGTTTTTGAAACTATAATTTAAAGATTGCCAAACATCTCCTAAAATTAAAAGACAGCGAGACAAAATTAACTTATCATGCTGTAAATTAAAATGGCTAACTGACGCTTTTTCAAATTTTCACTAAGCATCGACTGTGGGGAGGCATCGGACGACATCGTATCATCGGGCAGCAGCAAATGAATGGATCCTGCGGGACAAAAAGATCCCACTTCATAGTTTGCACTTCGCACAGATAATCTTAGTCCCAACAATTATTATTTTGTTCATATTGTTGGGTTGTGTGCAGAGTAAAAGAGCAATGCATGAAATTTGTTTCAATTCGCGGGTGTCGGTCAGTGAGAGCGTGATTCACTGAGCGTTCACAATCAATCTCAGTCCCCGACAGCTGCAAATTTCCGCCATTACCGGCATCTTTTAAATCCACGTGTCTCCTATCTATTTTTGTTCTTTCTTCCTCATTTGCTAATACCTCTTGTCTTTTTCCCATTCTCCTGTCCACACTCCACGGTGCTACCCTCTACTATTTCAAGAACTAAAATATAAAACCAGTAAGCTGCTAAAACAGCCAAGCAGATGATGCTTTGCTTTTTGCAGTATTCTGGGGTTTAACTTACCCAATACTTGAGCACTATTACTCCACAGCCATATTTTGCTCTCTAGGGCTCCAAGAGGAGTATACCCATTTGAGTTCAGGAAGAGAGTGTGGCTAATCTGAGCTGAGATGTTAAATTTCTTGATAAGAAAAGATCTTAGGAAGATTCTCAAGCGCAAAGACAGCGATGCGGGCGAAAAAGGTGGGGGCTTTTTTTTTTTTTCCTGATCAACATCGTCACTGTTAGTTAGTAGCTGTCAATACGCTTTTTACTCAGAATCTGGCATCCCAGTGTTCAAATTTCTCCGTCTTTTTGCTGGGATTGGATCACATTCTTGGTGATTCTTGGTTTTTGGCGTTTTTAGGTGTTTCTTTCTTTGTGTATTTTGTACCTCATTTTGTGTTACGAGTTTTGATGGTGTAATGCTTAGCGTTATTATCTTTGGTTGTGAGAGTTTCTCTGTTTATTGTCCTAATATTCAATGTACCATTATATTTTTGAACCTATCAATTTCTTTCGCGGTGTGGGTTTTTCTGATTTGTTCTCCTAGTATACAATGTAACTTATTGATGCTTCTTTAACAGTGCCTTCTAGACCTCATTTTGTGTAATAAGGGCTGAAGTTCTGATGGTAGGCTACATCATGTTGAGATTTTCTCTGTTCTTTTATTTTAGCATACATCGTAGCTTCTGGCCAATCCTGGTCACTTGGGATGCTTCTCTGCCCCTAAATGAAGGTTCAATCAGTCTGTCTTGCATGTGCTCTGGTTATTCGACTTACACATTTGCGCTTTCAATGTAGATGTAAATAACTTAGTTATTGTTTATTACTCTTCATGAAAACTATGTTTCTTCGTTTGGGAACGCTTTTGAATGGATCTTGCAATTTCCTTTCATGTTTTGTTTTTGATGCTTCGTAAAGAGAGTGACGACTATTATCCATCACTATTGTTGTAAATCCGCTTCTTAATCTTTTGCTGCTTCTAAGACTGGAATTTCTCTATATCTTAATATACTTGAAAGGATGAAGTAATTTTGTTTTGAAGGTGGTTCTGGTTCATCATCTGCACTTGCATCTAATTCCAGCAAACCCATGCAACTATAGTAGAATTTGAGCTTACGTGTAAATTTAAAACCTGAAACCTCCACTGAGCTAGCCATATAGTGCTATCCTTATATCTGTGACTAATTTCATTTTTCTTTTAGTTTGCAAAGTTCTTAATACTTAAATGGTTAGTCAGCATATTATTCCATCTAGGAATAATCATTTTACTTGGAGAAATATCCTATAATTCCTAGTTTGGGATTTTAACTACTTTTTTATTCTTATCTTTTGGTTCTTGGTGGTGATCATGCATGTATAGTTATCTTCTTTTTGATATGATGGGTTCTTATGAAGTTCTAGGACTTGCATTTTATACTACATACTCATATTGTCATAAATATGAGCTTTGCAATGTTCATGCTAATTCAAATAAAATTCACTTTCAAGTTTTGTAGTCTAGTTGTCATTTTGCTTTATCCTAACTATCATTAAGTGTTTTATTATCTGTTATGGTTCATTGCAGGAAGAGCACTCGAAGAGTTAAGAGCATCTCTTTTTAATGAGTTTCGCTCCTCTGAAGGTGCAAAGCGCCAACAACAGCGTATTTGTGGTCCTGCTGTTGCGCTTTCCTTCAATTTTCTGGTTGCAGTTGGTATTATTTTCATGAACAAAATGGTACTTACTCTTCCTTCTATTTGATTAATCTGCATAATGTATTGGAATTTCAAATAGCATGTTTGCTGACATTCTTGACTTGTATCTCATTCTTCCTTTTCTTTCTCTTTTGTTTTCCAGGTACTTCAAACCATTAATTTCAGATTTCCAATTTTTCTCACACTAATTCACTATCTAGTGAGCTGGTTCTTCATGGCTGTATTAAAAACGTTTTCTCTCCTCCCGGCACCTCCTTCCTCAAAATCAACTCAAATGTCAAGTTTATTTACTCTTGGATTTGTCATGTCTCTATCAACTGGCCTTGCTAATGTCAGCTTAAAGTATAATAGGTAACGTAAATGTTCCCATTTCTGTTTCTTTAAAATTTTCAGTTTTATACTCTGAATTTAATTTCTATGTGCTCAGCATTGGTTTCTATCAGATGGCAAAGATTGCAGTAACACCGTCAATAGTTCTGGCTGAATTTATACTGTATAGGAAGAGAGTTTCTATGGCCAAGGTTAGTGCCTTCATTTTTTCTGTGAACTTATTGTGGCTGATTACAAATATAACTTACAGAAATGTGTATCCTCTTATGCCCTGTACTGCTTGTGGCTTTATGATTATTTTGTGAAATTGTTCCTTTTATCCTATTGTCCATCCTCTCAATTTGAATTCAGAATCTAAACCTCTTAGTTTAGGTTTGAAAGATCACTATCCTCTTAATTTGGTCCTTTAAAGTAACTTAATTTAGTCCCTGAATCAAAATGGCACTTAAAAAAGGGTCAAAATGATTATCAAAGGGACCATTTTGAGGTGGAGGAAAATGTTTGGAAGGCTGAAATGAGAAATTTCATCTTTACAAGATCAAATTAAGAGGAAACTGATATTTCAAGGACTAAATCAAGAGACTATATCCATAGAAGACCGGGGGGGGGGGGTTATATTCTAGGGTTTAAATCATCACTTTACTCCTTTTCTTATCTAAAAAATGACTCATTTATAAAGTAAGTGTATCTGTTGAAGATCCTTCTCACACCTCTACTGAACCTGTATATTTGTGGAAGATAAGCTGAATCATGCTTGTTAGGTTTATTTTACATAGCTTTAATGTTCTTCTGAGATCATACTCGGAGCATACTTTATAGTTTTGAGAATCCATCCAAGAAAATATTATTTTCTGCTGCTAACAAACATTCAATCCCTCTGAGCTATATATTTGGGATTTTCCTTGGATACATTAGGAATGGTTTTAACTCAACTTCTACTCAAACACCGCCCCACCCCGCCCCGCCCCAGCTTTACTACCTAACCTAACCTTAGGTGGCCATATATTTGGGAAATTTGTGCTTATCTCATCGTTGTTTGAAATTTTGAAATGCTTACTATAAGAGTTTGAAAATTTACAGGCTTTAGCACTCACTGTGGTATCTATTGGTGTTGCTGTGGCCACTGTGACTGATCTGCAGTTCCATGTATTTGGCGCTTGTGTAGCATTGGCTTGGATTATACCTAGTGCTGTGAACAAAATCCTTTGGTCCAGACTGCAGCAGCAAGAGAACTGGACTGCTCTGGCGTAAGCTTTTAGCAACATTCATATATTCTTGCCCTCACCTCCTCCCCACAGATGTTGATTTTCATTACGAATTCCTTTTTCTGTATCGCGCATGATTTGTGGGTCGATCAACAGGTTGATGTGGAAAACAACACCTATTACTTTGATTTTCCTGGCTGCTATGTTACCTTGCTTAGATCCTCCAGGTGTGCTTTCCTTCAATTGGAACTTCCAAAACACACTGGTGATTTTTGCATCAGCTATTCTTGGGTTCTTGCTTCAGTGGTCTGGTGCTTTAGCACTTGGGTGAGTGTTAACCGTCTGTTTGGTGTTTCACCGTATTGGTTTTTATAGTGAATGATGCTTCTTGTTCGGTTCCATGTTCGGTTATTTTCACAAATTCTTGAAAACATTTCAGGTAGATACTCCCTCGAATCCTTTCTATAAGGACATGTTATCTACTTTGCATAGGTTAAGAAATTCAGCTAAAATTAGTTGAAGCTGTTAAACTTTCAAAAATACCTTCACTGAGTCATTAATTAGAAGATGTCGTTTAATTAGTTAGGTGATTGTTTAGTTAGGTTACTTTAAAGGGTCTTATGTTAAGGACCATATGGAATGTCCTTATAGTAACGACTGGAATTAGTATTCCTAAACCAACAAGTAAACATTTGAGGAGGTTAAGACGTGTCTGTGGAGTTTACTACTGGCATGTTTGTCTATAGTTAGTTTGATGTCATGCTCATATTACTCTGATACCTTTTTTTTTTTTTTTTGCGCCAATCATATTACTCTGTTACTGTTTTTGCTTTCAGTCTCTACTCACTGTTGAGAACATTACAGCATGCTATTTTCTTCTGGCTGCTTTTTCCTCTTTTTTCTCATGTGTTTTCCCTCTTTTTCATTGTCGCAGTGCCACATCAGCTATCTCGCATGTTGTTCTTGGGCAGTTTAAAACCTGTGTCCTCCTTCTGGGAAATTACTATCTCTTTGGAGCCAATCCTGGCAAAACCAGTATCTGCGGGGCATTTACAGCGATTTCTGGCATGTCTGTTTACACTTACCTTAACCTGAAGCCCCAATCAAGCAAGGTGTCTCCATGGCAGGCATCAGCTTTACCAAAATCAAAACTTGGCAAAGAAAACGGCAACTCCAAACTCGGCAAAGAAAATGGCAACTCCATTCATGACGGACATTACGGTGCAGAATCTGTCTAACAAGAAAGCCTAACACTGCATTACATGAGGTAATGGATTATGACATATTAAGGTATTAACCAAGAACAATTCATTCTTTCTTTCGGATTCCTAGGATTGTCTCTAACCATTTTCAGTGTTTGCTAAAAAGATATGTTTATTTGTATGAATCAACACCAGTTGTATAAATTGATGTTTTGGTGGATCCTGCACTAAAGTTATGGTTCTCTCTGGTTTTCAGTATTTGATATTGTTTCTGCATCTTCTTAACAGAGATCAGAATCTCGGCAGTTGTGATCCAATTTGATGATTATAAAAATAGGAAGACGTTATTCACATGATGCCTTTGGTGTTTCTTTTTCTTTGGGGTTTGAGTCATGGAATAAATTGAAAAGTGTGAAGCTTCAGAGAAGTAGAGTGCAATGACTTAACTGGGAAAAAATCCACAAATATAATGTTAGTGTAATATTGTTCAAATTCAAATTTTCTAATTCAACAATTTAGCAAACGTGTTTATTTGTATCCTCTCAGTTCATTAAATTTGGGTTTTTTTTTATAAAAAAAAACTATGTATATTTGTAGATGTAAAATTTTATAGGTAGCTATATTATTTATAAGTCATGTATTGTACATTCTAATTCATCCAATACATTAGGATGAGACAAAATTAAGAAGACAGAGCATTGTTCTTTTTCCAAGCCGTTCTATTTTCACTGATTTATTTATCCATCCAAATTGACCAAATCTAATTATTGACTATTCAACATAAATTTTCTACAGTGATAAAACAAAATGAAGCACTTAATACATTAATTAGTGGAGAATATCTCTAACTGGAAAAAAAGTAAAAACGATACAAAATGAGTAGATTAGCTAAAAAACAAAATATAAGGCCTTCTTTGATTTCCTAGTTCCAAAATAATCTTTTATTTTTAAAAACAAAAAATTGTTTGGTAAGAACAAAAAAAATAGGAATGTGTAAAAAAAAAAATCAGAACAATTTATATATTTTTTCTTTTTGATTTTTAGTTTTGAAAGTTCATTTTTTGTTCTCCAAAATCGGGCAAAAAGTATAAAACGACCCTATCGCTATCTTCGTTCAACTATTCGATCACGAGCTCTAGCCTCTCAAACTCGCAACATCACTCCCTAGTTTCAGTCTTAAATATGATATTTTGGAAGGAAAAAGCATTTTGAAGATGGCTATATTTTTTTCTCAATTTTTGTAGGTTTGGCGGAAGAAAAAAAGAAAGTAGAGTAGGCTATTAATTTTGTTATTAATTTAAAGTGAAATTGTTAATAAAAAAACATTACTTATATTTTTTTGGAATAATTGATCTGCACATATTTATGGCTTTTGTTGATTCTTAATGAGGTCTTTATAATTTTTCTTTTTATCATGTTCTTATAACTTCACTTGTTTTTAATAAAGTCTAGGTAGTTTTTCTTTCTTTTTTTAAATTAGGTTCTTAAATTTTTACATAATTTTTAATAAGATTATTTTAATTATGTGATCTATTTTAATTTATAAACTTTAAGAATATTCTTCTGCAAATAATATAATAATATAGAAAAATTATTATATTATTTAATTCTAAATTTAATCAATATAAACAGTTAAAAAAGTACAAAAACTTGAATGAAAATATGTTTAAACTATATTATAGGACTTCATAAAAAAAGAAAAACTACAAAGATATAGCTAAGGGTGAATTTGCACTTATCATCCTATAATATTTTTCAAGTGCATCTAGTATCCTAAAGTATTTTTTAAAAATATATTTAGTACCTTAAAATATTTTATGGTACATCCAGCATCCTGAAATATCTTTTAATGAAATTTTACACTTAGCAATTTATGGTACTATATATGCATTAAAAAATAATTTTGGACACATGAAAAAGGCTGTTAAGTACATCAAAATATAATTTAAAATGTTGGGTGCACATAAAAAAAAAAAAATTCCTGAAACTGAATTAACTACAAATACTTTATTATACATCTAGAAAAATAGTTCTGAATGCACATTAACCTGTAATTAGTCCTATGTGATTGATCTGCCATGGCAATTGATGGGGATGGAGTTTTTCTTCATGCATGCATGTTCCAACCAACAGTACCCTCATAAACATTGCATTGCATTTAGTTGGTTTGCTCAGAGTGCGAAACCAGTCACAGGGCGGCCGCCGCGCTGCAGAAAAGAGATGTATATCCCTCTTTGTTCATGCGTTTCTGATCGATGTGGCCTCAAACTGGGCGTGACCTTCACCTATTAAAACCATCCATCACCTTCATTATTCATTAATCCCGACGGCTTCTTAATTTCATCTTTCTTTCTTCACACTACTACTGCTTCCATGGCTGACTCTTCACAGAATGTGCAGCAATACTTTTGCATCGATTGCAAAGTTATCTATGCTCCCCCTAATTCTGTCTTCTGTCCTCATTGCCACCGCCCCATATCACTTTCCAAAATGAGACGTCCTGCTGGATATGAATCCATTGAGAGGTATCGGGCATCTCAAGCTTCTTCTAAGAAGCCAGCTCCCAGATCTTCACTGAGGAAGATGGAACAATTGGAGATCACTCCACATTTGCTGGAAAAACAACCCAAGTGCCCTATATGCCAAGAAGAATTTGAACTGGAAGAGAATGTAAAAGCCATGAGATGTGGCCATTATTTTCATGAAGCTTGCAGCCAGTCATGGCTTGGAGGTCAGAAAAACGAATGTCCTTTTTGTAAAGCTACCTTACCCCATGCTGGTTCCTGCTCAACTCCTTCATCGTGTACTCTGACTTAGTGTGGAGACTAGATTATATGGTATAATTTCTATACAAGAACTCATTTATATTAATCATATAATTAAACCATAATTACCAAACAAAACTATATTTATATCTGACCTTAATATTTCATTAATATCTGCTTTTGCAAAAATGCTTATCTTTTTGTTTTGTTCAAATTAGTGTTAGCTTGAACAAGTTCATTCACTTTTACTATTTTTTTTAATTTAAAAAATGGAGGCACTCTTGCTAAAAGATTTTCACCCTATTTTTCTTCTTCTTTTCAGGTATGGAGAATCTCCTCAGTACTTTTCCTAAGAAGATTTCAGAGCAATTTAAATGAACATTAATAGTTAGTCATTATTATTGTTGTAGAATTAGGGAGTATCCTACTATATATCTTAGTTTCTTTAGAGTTACTTATTTTCCTTTATCATAATTCTATTTGTATTTGACCATGCATTAGTATTATTAATCTGGTGTTTAAAATATAAGTATTCTCCATCTCATCTTTCTTTCCTTTTTCAGATATATATATATATATATAATATCTGGACATATTTAGAATGTAATATTGATGATAAAAATAAAAAGAAAAGAAATTCACTCGTATGTTTGATATTTTTATTAAGGGAAAATTCACTTGTAAGTTTGTTATTTTTATTAAGGGGCATTTTTTAATTTTGTTATTTAAAAAGATACAGATAAGATAATGTTGTTATAAATAAATATAAAAATTTATATAAAATAAAAAATTACATTTTATCAAAAAAAGAACAGAAATATGTCTACGTAACCAGGAACAGAGGTTAAAATTTTTCAAAAGTAACCCAGTATATTTTTTTCTCCACACCCAACATACATATACAGCGCCAACAAATAATCGATCAACATTATTTTCGATTTCCTTCACCAATGAGTAATATTTAATTGAGGATGTCTTTATGATGCCAAAGAACGGAACTTTTCATACAGCCGACTTTTACGATTCTGAATAACTGAATTTTAATTTTAATTAAATTTATTTAAGTTAGATAACATAATTACCCTGTATCAATGGACACTATTTTAAAAAATTTAATTTAATTTTAATTAAATTAGTCAGCATTTCTAATATATGTGATATTGAAAATGAGTAAATCAGAAAGTAAAATAGTTTTAATCTTTTATTTTTCCAAAACTAAAAACCTAAATGGATCAATTCGTCATTAGCTACTATTAGATTTAAATTTTGTTTGCTAAACATATCTGAAAAAAATACTTCTCACATAACCCTTAGTTTTAATTTTAAAAGGGAATTATTTAAAGTTTAGCGGTGGATTCGTTCCAATCTAAATTATTGACTTTTTGTTTGTTTGTTTGTATAGACAATGTATCCTACTATTGAAGACAATCTTATGCAAAGTATTAAATGTCAAATTATTGACTTCTAATAGAGTAAAATGTTTGAATGTAATTTCTGTTATTTGTTTTAGGTAGACTAATTTCTGTTAAATTTGATTCATTAAGTTATTATACTTTTTTCTACCAATATAATTGCAATTGCAATTTTTTTTTTTTGCTAACAATATTATTGCAATTACTTCAACCAATTGGGCACTAATGGGGGAAAGAGAAAAAAGAATTGTTATGGAAATAACTCTGCACCCATATAATTCGACTTAACTCGTTTTGAATCAGTTACAAGGGTTGTAATATGACTTTAAAAACAGTGCATATAATAAATATGTGTGTTTTACTACACACACACAGACACGTCTTTTGCATCGTTCAGTTATTTTAAAATTCATAGGTACGTTAGGGTAAAAAAGTATTATTATACTAAAAGAAATAGATCATTCTTTTTTTTTTTTGTGTGTGGTCATGATAAGAAACAGAAAGGATTTAACTGTCATAATAACAACTTAATAATCGAGCCAGCACTTTTCAGATATAAAATTATGTGAGAATTACAATCAACCCCAAGAACAAAAAATAATTACTAACAAGTCCAAATAACAACTTAAATAGCCTATAATGAATGACAAGTATTAGAGTAGGCAATC